TTGATTTCTGAGCAGCTCAGGGGTTTCAGCTGGCATGCAGGAAAGCACATTCATTGTATAGTTTTCTTTGTGCAATCATTTGTGAAGCTTTGTTAAATCATTTATAATTTGTCAAATCAATTAGCAAATCAAAGGCTGCATTTACACTGCATGGTTCAAGTGACCCAATTCCGATTTTTTTCTTCCCATGTGGCACAGATCATCGGAAATGGCCCACGAACGTATAGGCTATATATAAGCAGGAGAAAAGCACATGGATTCCGATATTCTCAGGTCGGTTACAGGCCTCATTCACATGTGGAAATAAATCTGATCGGATAGCCTACGTGTATTTGCGCCTGCCGTGTAAGCGGACAGATCGGATATTCCCCTGTTAATGCAAGCTGGATGTCAAATATTTTTGAAACATCTCGCAGTACAGATATATCTATTACAAATGAAATCTCTAGTTGACTAGTACTGTAGGCTACTAATTTCGTTCGTTTGTGTTAAATAAGAGGCGATCTGGCGCTGAAATGTGTTGCTTTTAAAATCATTTGTCGCTGTTATCAGTGCACAGACGAGCGCTTCAATCTGTTGCTAATATTGTGGAGGCGCTCTATTCGAAATCACATATAAATGCACACAAACATGTCCCTGCTCTTGACATACAATCACCGATGAACACATTTGGTTTTAATGAGGAAAAAAACTATACGAGGGCGGAGAACCCACTAGCACAAGTTCTACCGCTAGACCCGCGGATGTGCCTACACTATTAGATGTTTAATATGTGTGAATATCGGATGAAATCTTTCTAATTGAAAACAATTTCTTCAAACTTGTTGGTTCATGCAAAGGTTTCAGTAATTCCATGACCCAGAGGTGACCCAGGACCCGAAGAGCTGCTGTAACATAAGCCTGTCTCAACAATGCAAAGCAAGTTCTTCCAGAATGGGGTGTTCCTGCAGCTTGCTTTGATTTACAATGAATAGCCTATGTACAAAATTGGAGAGAATCTATCAACTCTAAGAAATTTTCATCTGCCTCCTCTGTCCCCTGAACGGGTCTAAGATAAGATCAGATAAAATACTCAGATAAAATACTCAGAAAAAGATCAGATAAAATACTCAATGGCTATTATTGCGATGGTGATTTAGGTAGTGACAACTTATGCAGGTTTCAGACACACAGATCAGTACCTGATCGATGGGGTCTCTGCTCCCTGTGGAGTCTGTTTCCATAATACAACATTCAGTGGAACCTGCCAGGATTATTTACATAAATTAATGGGGTAAAACTTTAGAATAGGGAACACTTATTCACTATTAACTACGACTTTTCCCTAAATAAATTCCTAATTTGCTACTTATTAATAGTAAGGTAGTTGTTAAGTTTAGGTATTGGGTAGGATTAGGGATGTAGAATAAGGTCATGTAAAATAAGGCATTAATATGTGCTTAATTAGTACTAATAAATGGCTAATATTCTAGTAATATGCATGCTAATAAGCAGCTAGTTAAGAGAACCTAAAATAAAGTGTTACCGTTAATGGTAATTAACCTGGCTTCGTGAGATGAATAAAATCAAACAGATTCAGATGTGGGTCATTCTCAAAATATATCGACTTTTAGACTGACAGAAAAACAAAACGTTTTAAATTGAATTATTAATCAGTATAACTGGACTTTCTATTTTATTTTACTTTAATCATATGAGAAATAATGGTCATTTATGAACAAATTCTCAAAATGTTCCAGGAACATTTTAAAACGTAAAACATAGATTAAAAACATAGACTAAAATCAACAAATTACACTTAAAAAAAAAAAAAAGAAGCAAATTCTGATAATTAAAAATGTATTACAATATACAGTATAGAGTCAAACTATACCATATTAGCCTATTTAATCAAATGTAAAGGTATAATAAAATAAAAAGTTATATAATGATGCCTTTATATTGGGTTTCTTGAATAGGCTATTTCAAATCACTGAAAAGTAAAGGGACAAAATATGTCACCATATTTTGAGAAGGACCCATTTGTGATGTTGATCAAAACTGTAGTAGGCTATACAGTATTTCCAACATCTTCTCCAGCTCTTTTGTCCATGATGACCAGGCCTTCAGGAACTCAGAAGCTCATGAGTCACAGAGGAGCTCGATCTGTGAGCCCATGTGCTAAACTAAAACAACAACAACAATGGAGTAGGCCTACTTAGTGTACTAGAAATGAGAAACCAAGTAGTGAAAATTGTTAATGACATTTAAAGACTGATATGTTTAATATAGTGAAGTACAGCATAATAAATGCAAAAAGTTTGTGACAAACTCTTTTGAATCTTGGACTCTTGTCTGTAACTTTCTCGGTTACATAAACAGGCCACTAATCAAAGCCATTTTGAATTGGAAGCACCTGGAACTAGATTTCTGGAATGGATTAACACCAGAGGAAACTGCTGTTACATCCAGTGCCTTTCATTCTGCTGTCACATTTTCTCTGGCTACAAAGTGAAACAGATCTGTCGTTCCAATATAGTAAAAATACCCATATGGCAAAAAACAAAACAAAAACAAATATATGTATCAAAACACTGCCTTTGTATGTTTTTAATTACATGGCCTGTTGTGAGTCATCCGCGACACGTCATTTAGAGCGGTGCTTTACTGCCACCCAGTGGAAGACAACGTGCAAGTGCAGCTGTTCAAAGCTGTTCCAAATCGGACACTTTCAACAGATGTGAACTTTTGACGGGAATTAATTCATTTTACAGCGATTTCACAATACTAAAACATAAAAAGTATTGTACCTCACGAAATAAATTTTTTTATTTAGTCACCAGATTATCAGAAAATCATAAAACTCGAAATACATCTTTGTTCTATCACCGTCATGACTGAGAAATACGGCACATTTAAATTGTTTTTCGAAATGCACACTGTAAATCATGAGTTGCTTTGACAGCAGTTTATTCACGGCTGAATTACAGTTATCACGTCAAGAATCAATTCGTAGCGTCTCCAAAAGTAGCGAAGGTCTATGCAAGGTGCAATGTGGTCTTGTGCGCCATCTGGTGGTGATGATGCGCACCCGCAGCACGCTCTTGTCTTATGCTTGTGTTTTCATTCTAGGAAAAAAAATTTGTTAACATCATCTAAAATATTCATAACTTATTTTAAGCTTATTTTTATGTCACACCTGAATACTACAGCAGTAATATTTCGGTCTCGGTCTATCCCAAGGCCAAGCACCAGATGGTCTAAATGTGTACAGATATATATATATATATATATATATATATATATATAAATAAATAAACTAATGAACATTTCCACTGTTGCCCAGGACAAAGATACAGTTCATTAAACACATGTACTTTGTGACAACATGCCCCAATAAAGTCACACTATTTGGGATAAGCAGTCACAATGACACCCAACAATAAACAGCCTAAGGTTCTAGGGTTTTTGAAGTTTTCTGAAGCACTGACATAACTAGAAATAAATAGAAAAACCCTAAAAACATACTTACAAAAACTACAATTATATAAATACTAAAATAATACTGATGCATGACTAAAGTGTTCATATAAATTTCAAATTATAAGTGCCTCTTCTGCCAAGTCGCAAGTTATTATGAAAATGTTTTATGAAAAACAAGCTTATGTGAAAACAGTGTGGATAGTGTCTCAATATGTCTTGAAGTTTCAACGGCCAAGATCTTGTGCAGAACAGATGTGCATGTGAAAGGATACAGTGGAAACATAAAATATTTTTTCTCATTTTATTGAACACAAGAATTGTTTGACAGAATGAAGTCAGATTTTGTTGTCGGTTAGTATTGACAGCAGTGGCAGTCGGGGGATGGGGATGACATTTGATTTGTAAAAATCTGTATACAGCTGTGAGAAGGGCCTCTCAGTATGGTATGAAGTGACGAATGTCTTATAAAGGTCTGAGATGAGAATGAAATGATGAGAGAAACCAATACACATCAAACGGGCTTAATCTGCTCAGATGATGAGCCTTAAATGCTTTGGAAACAATCGTTTGAACAGACCTTTGTCTTTAAAGTGGCATGATGGCACAGTTGCGGTGGTAAACTGTGTGTAAACTTACAAACAAATTGGTCCCACATTAAATGGCAGTATGAATCAAAAGCTTGTTTTTCAGAGAGATCACAAGAAAGAGCTTGTATGCCTCCTGGTACAGTTTCTACAAGCCTCTCAGATGCTTATTAGACCAGAATCCTGCTGGAAACACTTCAAAAATAACTTTCATTATTAATATTATTACATTACAAATGCTTAACAGAACACAAACGTACATTCAAGTAGCATAATGTTTAAAGACCTAATAATGAAAGTTATTAAAACACGTTATCATTCAACTCCCATGTTTGTCTTGTAAAAGCAGACAACAGTGAACGTATGAATGACAAAAGTTCACTGACATTCAGATAAATGCACAAGTCTTTGACATTTTCAGTTATTTAGCAATTCAATTCGTAACCTTAACACCAATGACATCTATAGTTCAGAATACATCGCATGCTTATTTCAGGTTTAAAAATAGATGTCACTGACGAGGCGAGATTTTGTAATTAAATGGTGGGTGAGCAGACAACCCTCGGGCGCCTATGAGACAAAATGCATTGAGAGTTTTCTGTGTGAATATATTTATATAGGTATAGGTCTGATTTTGCATCAGTTAAATAGAGGCATGTTTGTCGAGATTTCGAAACTCGAGTTTTAAGAAAACCACGGTCCATTTACACCCTCAGACCCAAAAGACCAAGTGACGACACATTTGATCAAGAAACAAAACTATTATTTTCACAGTTTACAGATCTGGACCATCTGACAGCGTTGGGGTATGTTGTCACAGAGACAATAGCGTCACTGCGGCCCATCCAGACCGCAGGCCTGCATACAAGAGGATGTTTATATTGAAGGCACCAACTCCTTTTGTGTCTGTATTTCACTTCTGCTGCCGTCATCGTTTAAAAAAAAAAAAAAAAGTTTTTTTACATCTTTTTTTATTCTTATCATGATGAACATCATTTAAACTAACAGCTACGGCTTTCACAACCTATGGAAACTTTTTTGTTTGTTTGTTTTATTCTAGTACAAAGAACACACCGTATTCACACTAGGATTTTCACGCATTCACAGTGCACAAGCTTGCAGCCTAAAGAATGAGAAACACTGTACAAAAAAAGTCAGGCTCAATATTCTTTATGCTACGATCCACACCGGAGTACTATGGCTTAAATAAAAAGTAAAACAATAATTTGGCCATTTAAGACAAAAAAAAACCTGACAAGCATTTGAATTTTTGTTAGTATCAAAGGGTCACGGCTTCATTTTAATGCAACATTTATCAATTAAATGGGCAAAAGCCAATGGAGCAACAGGCAGACGTCATATGGGACATCCTGCGAGATGCGCCTGATGTTTTCGTTAGGCCACAAGTGCAACAGCTGTATCTGCACGTAACGCAGCAGCGACGCTTGTACTGTATTTTCTCAAGGAGAGCTCCTGGTTGTTTCTTATGTTTTTTTTTTAAAAGAACTTACTGGATGTTTTTAAGCAAGTATCACCTAAAGTAAAGAAGAAACTCTAAGGTTTAGGAGAAATGGGATGCGTTGTAATATAAAAAAGGAAAAAGTAGTAGTGGTGATTTGCACAGTATAACCCTAACAGCTAGTTCAGACCTCTACCCTGCGTAATTGTTTGTGTCGGGTTTGCTAGAGAAGCAAATGAGGGATATCGGAGCAAAATGCTGTAAACACTCAGGGCTGGGATAAAACAAAAAAAGGCCATATAGAAAAATAATTCTGCAAAGCAAGCATGCTAAAAATCTATCGCTAACTCTCAAAAAAATAATGTGAAAAAATAAAATAAAAGGCGGTTGCTTTTGTACATTATTTAAACACAAGTAAAACATCAAAAATGTTCCCCAAAAAATGAATGTGACAGACAATAACAATGGCAATACTGCATGTAATAAAACGGGACATAATTGAAACAGCACTGTGGGCTGAATGAATGAAAGGCGAAAAGGTGATTAGCCTACTGTTTTTCTCATAATGAACTTCCTCAAAAGCCTATTTGAAAGACACTGATCTTACTTACAGAGGTCAAGGAGACTGCGCTAGAGGTAAAGAATCTTTCCTTCTTGCACTGATGAAAAAAAAAAGAAACGTTTCAATGGTAAAAACAATCGAAAAGTACAAAATAAAAGGCATATGCAGACGTGTTTTGTTCTGCGAACTTAAAGACACTGAAGAAAGAAACCCTTGTATTTGAGATGTGGTGGTGGTGTGGTGCTGTCTGTCTGCGACTGTTGTGCGCTGCCCATTCCGGATCATGCTTTGCTCTCGTTGCTGTTCATCTGGGGGGCTTCATTAGGGACTGTCTTCACCTCCACCGGGTTTTTCTTTACCTCCATGTCTGGTGCTTTACTTTTGTCATCTACAACAATTTTACCACTGGGGGAAAGAAAAAAAGAGAAGTTTATCAGCAGTGTCTTTCAGTCATCTGTTTGGCTGCTTCCCCTCTTTATACTATTTCCAAGGATCGCTCACCCAAAAATGACAGTTCTGTCATGAATTGTTCACCCTCATGTTCTTTCAAACCTGTACGAGTTTCTTTCTTCAGTGGAACACAAAAGATGGATTTTGACGAAACTGAAGAATATGCTAGGCATTCTTTTCAATATAATGAAAGTGAATGAAGACTGGTGCTCAATGCTCCACAAATAACAAAGAAACACCATAAAATGATCATAAAAGTGGTTCACATGAGTCATTGTCTAAGTCTTCATATGGTAGCACTGTGTGACAAAAATCTTGACTAGGTTTCTTTGGTACGTTCATGAGGGAGGGTCTTATCGCAGTTAAAACATTTATTTGATCAAAAATATGGTAAAACAGCAATTTTGTGAAAAAAATATTACAATTTAAAATACCTGTTTTCAATTTTAATAGATTTCAAAATGTAATTTATTCCTGTGATGGCAAAGCTGAATATTCAGCAGCCATTACTCCAGTCTTTTAGTGTCCATGCTGTGAGTATTTAAGACATACTGCTGTTGCACAAATAGCATATAAAATAACCTGTAGTAGATCCATACAAGTGGAGCTGGGGAAGGTAGAGGGTTTCAGAGGAACTCTGAAAGCACACTGTGAAATGTTCTAATGAATTTCTTTCAACAACAAAAAAATCTTTGGAATGATAGATAGTATGTAGTACATGAGTCCTGTGGATTACTTTTATCATGCTATCATCAGGTTTGAAATGACATGAGGAAGAAAATAAGATAGCACATTTTCATTTTTGGGTGAACTGTCCCTTTAAGTTTTGAGGGAACAGACTTCAGTCTAGCCAATCAATTTCACAGCTAACAGGATCAGTTTGGTTATCTTATGCTAACATCAAAGATTATTCATGAGCATGAGCATGTATGAAAACAGAGGAACAGTGCATGCAGGTATGATTCATATGAATCATAACACTCAAGTTAAAGGGGTCATATGATGCGATTTCAATTTTTCCTTTTTCTTTAGAGTGTTACATGCTCTTGGTGCATAAAGAAGATCTGTAAAGTTGCAAAGACTAAAGTCTCAAATCCAAAGAGATATTCTTTATAAAAGTCAAAGAGTCAGCCACGCCTACCTAAAACGGCTCGTTCTAACACGCCCCCCAGGGCATCCTCGCAGTATGGTAAGGGGCGTAACATTTCCGTCACACGCTTGAGGTATTCGGCCAATCACAACGCACTGGATAGCTGGCCAATCACAGCACACCTCGCTTTTCAGACCGATGAGCTTTGTAAAAATCGACTCTTTCCGAAAGGCGGGGCATAGAGGAGAAACAATAATCTACAGTATGTAGCTTATTGGCTGTGTAATAGTTTGTTGAAACACAGAGCGCTTGTCTCTTGGGGTCAGGCTGGAGCAAAAAGCATAATAATAAATAATAAATCATAAATAAATGAAAATCATCCACCGCAAACTGCCTATTACTGAATATTTTACAAGCACATAGACATTTGTTCTCAAGGGAGCTGACAGAGCACATAGTGTGCCTTGAAAAAAAGGAAGTTTACTTAAATTATTTTGCAGTAGGCTGATTCTTTCCGAGCGCTGATAATTCCTGTAATGGAATTGACTGTACTGGTGTGCCAAATCATTCATAAATGCATAATGAACCACGAAAATGAAAGATGAGTTTTGCTGGCAGGGAATCGAGATGGACGGTCCCTGTCGCATTTCTAACATGTTCCCTTCCATCCTATTTTTAGCACACCTGCCCGGCTGATATCAGCTGTGAATGACTGTTCATTATATTCGTCAAACATGCCTGGACAGCAATTGACTTCTACACCATGACGTGGGACCACCGGCGGCGGTGTCAAGCGCTCTTGAATACGGCAGAGCCACAGAGAGGCTTTGTAGGGAAGAGAATGGGTGTAGTGGAGTGAGGACGTCTCGTGTTACAATCTACACGATCTCAGTGGTACGACACAAGAGCAAGCTGCTTTGTCAGTGTCCGAGGTCTGAGCTGTTTGTCCCCCGGAGGAATTTCATTACGCTCATCACAATAAAGCTATCTGATCACATTCTGGCTCTTATGAAGAGCGGCCAAGTGTGCAGAGTCCCGCCCAACGACTGCGACAGACACAAAGCATCATTATTCCTTCTGAGCGAGCTGAGGCTCAGCGGCACTATAAGAAAACCTTCCGCCATTTGTCAGTTTGCATCCTTGGCGAGTTGTCTTTAAAAGTGCAAACTCTCATTCTTGAAGGGGAAAAACTCTGACTTTAGGTGTCTTGAGAGACTAAAGATGGCAGATTGAGTTCCATTGATATTCTGCAGGCTCTGTGAAGACCAGGGACGTTGCTCAGGTAGCTGAAAATCTACAGACACAGCCAATCAGCCCAGGTGGCAACCAATGAGAGGCAACTTCCCTGGAGTGTTCCTGCTCAAATTAGACAACTGAGCCGAACTGAAAGAGAGCGAGAACAAGCCTGACATGGACCGACTGGGCCATACATGGAAAGCACAAACTACACAGCACAAATGGAAGTGGGGAAAACAAAGTCTCTGGTAAATATTTAACAAACGCCATGCTCCCACTAATTCCCTGCTGGAAGTCTTGGCTGACTGTTTAACAGCCGATTTTCTCTGTACTTCGCAACAGAGCGAGAGAGAGCGCGCTATTGAGGAGTCTGGAGATGCCGCTACTTCTGGCTACATTAGGCAGCTCCATAAAGCTAGCAGGACTGAATCTGTCAGATGTGAAATGTTTGTTTAATTCTGCAATATGCACCCCTGAATGAATGAAACCACTGCTATTCAGAGGCGCTGATCCGATGCTCTCAGCATGGCTCCAGCGAATAAGGAGCAGGGTTGTTTCATTTATGTATATTTTGTACATTCTAGCTGAAATTTTTGCTAGTTTTATTTCAATTTCACAACAACATAGCTTAGTACTTGTGAACAATAAAATGTGCCATAAAACAATTGTAACTACTATCATTCTGGCATCTCTGGCACATTTATGATTCAGAGCCATGGACCAAATCCACTCAAATCTTTTGACAGATGGAGAACAAGTCCTGGCTGGTTTTGCTGAAGTTCATAGCTGAGAATTTTTGGAATATATTCGAGAGATTTGTTTGAGGCCATTTGGATCAACTAAACGAGACTCTAATTTAATTTGTGTTGTCTTCACAATGTTTCAGAGAGATATTATTTTCAGTAACAACTACTGAATGATTATTGTGGTGTAGTTGATTGCATATTTACACTACTATTCAAAAGTTTGGGGTTGGTACTATTTTTTTATGTTTTTGAAAGAAGTCTCTTATGCTCACCAAGGCTGAATTTATTTGATCAAAAATACAGTAAAACAGTAATGTTGTGAAATATTATTACAATTTAAAATAACTGTTTTCTATTTGAATATATTTTAAATATTCCTGTGATGGCAAAGCTGCGTTTCAGTGTCACATGATCCTTCAGAAATCATTCTAATATGCAGACTTGCTGCTCAAGAAACATTTCTTATTATCAGTGTTAAAAATAGTTGTGCTGTCCCCCCGTTGGAATTGTATCGTTGGAATTGTAATGTATCTGCTTCTATACAAAAAGTGAACTAAACTGAACTGTGATGGTTGTTTACATGACAATCATTGATGCATTTCTGTCTAACTGAGTGACTCTTTTGGCCAGAATGAACCAACTGGGAGATCAGACAATTCAGCATAATATGAAATCTAAAAATTAATTGTCTCTATAAATAAACTTCATATTGTAGTTTTAGAGTATTTCTTTAACAAACTTCAATTTTTTATATATTTGAAGGTAGAGTATGGAATTCCGGCCTCTCTTTCACCATCTGGTTGAGACATAAAATTAAAAGGTAAATGCAGATTTGTTATTTTACGTTTGTTTTGCATCTTTAATGAACATATTTTTCAGTGCTGATTTTTTTTCTTCAGTTTTTGTTACCAGCATTAACCTTGATGTGTACATCAGCTGGCCATTTCACCCACAGAAGCACAAATGACTCCTCACCTCATCTGCTGTGTTAATGTAATTACAACAATCATACATTAGCCTTCTCTAAGATGCTCTTTTATACAATAGCACCATTAAGGCTGCTAATTTATTTCCCACTGTCCTTTTCAGCTTTGAAAGCCATCATTTAAAATCATCAGCTGTGGAATTGTGCCATTTACGAGAACCAATCATTGTTGCTCTGCCAGCATTAATAGAGGAATCAATTAGCTCGCTCCGAAAAACAAAACCAAAAGAACAATTTTACACATTTATAATTCCACTGTGCTTTGAAACGCCACAATTGAACTGGTTTTTACAGAGGTGCAAATAAACCTGCACAAGTTTCAGTGCACTAAGCCATCTCTCATTTGAATACCAAAGGGAATACGCAAAGATTGAAGATGCAGGAGGAACCTGATGAAATTCTGATTTTACATTAAGAAGTGAGAAGTAACTGAAGAGGAAGGAGGGGTGACGAAGAAACAGACAGTGAGAAAGTGGAGATGGTTAAGGACACAAACACAACTAAACATCTAGAGGTGGCCATACTCGTCCTGGTTGGGTGCGGACAGTGCGCTGGAGGAGTCGCTGGAGGGCTTGCCCAGCGCATCCTTGGCAAGGTTACTATCTGTGGTCTGGTGGGCTCCTCCCTGTACCTGAGAGTCCTTACTTTGGGGGGGATTGGCCGGCTTAGCCGGGCTCTGGCCATCGGCTTTAGCCAGATCTGCAGGGGTTGAATCAGATGGCTGGGGGGCATCTAAGGACTTTGAGGTCTGGTTGGAGGGTGTATCGCTCAGGTCCACCAGAGGGGCCACGGCTGCAGGAGCAGCTTGTGGGGAGGTGGGCGAGGTGACGCTAGGTTTGGGGGTGCTGGATTGGGGGGTAGCTTTAGGGGCTGCTTTAGGGTTGGCCGCAGGGGCAGTGCTTGAGGTAAGGGTGGTGCTATCGCTAGCAGGACTGTCAGTGCCGGGGTCTGAGTTAGTGGTTACAGAGGGAAGCAAGTCCACTACTGTTGCTGTGTTGTCAGCAGCGTGCCTGTGAGGACAGCGGGAATAGAGAGAGAGAGGAGAGATGGGGAGAAGGAGATTCACACAAAGAAAACGGGGAGGGAGGGGGGGGGAAGGCCAAGGCAAAACATACACAAACATTAGTAAGTCCAACATACATTTCAAAATAAAACACACCATGTTAGGTAATCACAAAAAAGTGAGGGGTGTGTGGTATCTACACCATTAAACTACAACAGAGAGACTGTTAAACACAAGTAGATGTTAATAACCTGAAGAAAAGACCAGACTTTTGCGTTTTGGACTGTGTGTGTGTTTTTAGGGACTCACTCAGGGTCCGTCAAAGGGGTGGTCTCATTGGGTTCGGTGGGTCCTCCTCCTTCATGGTTTGGTGTGTGTTCCTCCTCAGTCCTTACCTCCACAATGGGCTCTTTAGATTCATCCTTACTGTAAAAGATGACACACCAGAGTTACCCAGAGTTACCAGAGTTAAAGATTTGTTCAAATTAGCAGCACTGATTAAAACGGGTTGACGATTATAAACAAATTGGTCTCGCACCATATGGTGTACTTTTCTGGCAAAGTATGGTGTGTTTATATTTATAATTTAATTAAATCTGCCATCTTTATAATTGATAAAGAACTGACAAAAATATTGTACAACTACTGTACAATACAGTAAAACTACTGTCAAATCAAATAAAAAATATTTTTGTATTTTTGCATGACAAAATATAAATATATGTCGGACATATATGACAATATTGTGCTATAAATAACTATTTATGTTAATCAAAAGCTATATTGTTGAGCCCTTCAGTGCAATAACATGACATCAAAATTTGGATATAATAACTTGCTAGTTAAAAAGGAAAAGGTTTTCTCTGCATAGCATTTTCAAAGGCTACTAAAACAGATGTAACCAGGCAGCCTTTTCATTCCTAACCAGCATGCACCTCTCCTCCTCTCCTCTTATCTCAACACTGCCGCCATGAGCCAATATTCACATCATTCTCATTCATGGAGTCAGATATGCCACAATCAGCCCTGCCTCAAGCCCTCCTGTAGAGCTGATGGGAGCGATAATGATGGGAGAGCAATGAAGGATGGCGTTATCGGACAAGGGAACACACACAGATGAGAGGGAAAGGAAAAGACAGGCTCACGTGAAAGCGGCTTTTCCCTCCTCGATATCCTTCCCTTTGGCAGCGGGCCCAGACTTGCCGCAAAAGTTGACGGCGATGCACATGAGGAGGCCGCACTTGTTGAGGAAGTAACATGTGACGTCCACGCCGAAGAGGAGCAGGATGAAGACCACAATGAGGATGCCCACGATAACACCGGTGCCCAACCCTGAGCTGGTTTCTTTGGGAAAGAGGAAAAGGAGGAAAAGTCAAAAAAGAAAAAAAGATTTTATCGCAGACCATGCCTTAAAGTGGCTTTTCCACAGTGCCACAGTGATCTATGCAATCTAGAATAAAAAATTACATTTCCATATAGTCTATTTTATATGTTGTACTAATTTGAAGTGAGCTGAAAGGATTGGTTTGTTGAAGGCAGTTAGGACTAAAGCCAACACACTCATAGAAACACATAAGGGTGAATTCACTAAACAGTTGTACTTTTACATACTCTAAAAACCTGTGGCTTTTTCCACTAACCACCAGCAATCCAGTTTAACCAGGTACTAAATGCGCTGAAATGCACTGCTTTGTGTTTAAACTAAAGGGACAGGTCATCCAAAAATGAAAATTCTGTCATCATTTACTCGACCCTCATGTCGTTCCAAACCTGTATGTGACTTACTTTCTTCTGTGGAACATAAAAGAGGAATGTATCTCCACATATAGTGCAAAACAACAAAACAACAATTTGAATAAATAAAGTCATACTGGTTTGAAATGACATGAGGGTGAGTAAATGATGACAGAATTTTCATTTCTGGATGACCTGTCCCTTTAAGTCATTGTATTTAGAGAAATCCTCCTCTCTCTGTAAATTAGGAATTGAACCTCACAAAACGTAACGTCAAGCCGGTTAACAGAATTTTGTTTGTGTACATTTTCTATTAATCATGGCAGCAGTAATTCATCAAATGATAATCTAGCAATGGAGAAGAGCGTTATAACTGGGCGTACGTCCAAATGCGTGGTGCAGATGAGTCCATTTGACACATTTTAAAGAGGTGCATGGATCACAGTGTTAAAACCATGCTGCACAGTTGCAGTAAAGCCAGATCATGTTTGTCTGATATATCCTTCACAACCTAGCAGGACCAGGAAATGTGCAGTGCAAATAGCATAGATTTTGTTACCTGATTAGCATAATTCCTTTACGCAATCTCTAATTACTAAAACAGCAAACATGTGCAAATAAACAGTACTATCAGTTAATTCTTAGTGAATTCACCCCCATAATATTTAGGTTCTCCACACAGACTGCCAAAGCGGGATACATTTCATGTGTTATCCACACACAGTATATAACATAACATCACATACAGCGTCATTCTGAAGCAGGGCATTCATCACTCACATGAACCCAGCATGCTTATTCAGAGACATAACTAACTCTCTTTGTACAGAACTTCAGAACGTTAACTACAAGGCTTGTTCTGTTCATATTCATGCACATATTTCAACAGAGAAACTCCACTGGCATGGAACGGTGAAGATAATCTCAATATTCAGCTCTTAGTGCATTCACTTATGGGTTAACTCCTGCGTAAACACACACAAACAACACACAAACGTAAGCCATACTGATGAAAACAAAAGAAAACACCATGTTAAAGGAACAAGGATTAAATGAGATGGAGAAACACAAGCAGAACTGTGTTTTCAGCTCTTGAAAACACAGACTACTTACCAGGGATGACAAGCTACACCATGAAAATGCTAAATAACTACAGGATCTACTGAGACGGACATATATGGTCTGGATCAGTAAACGCAACGCACAATGAAAATGTGGTTGTATGGATCTTAATGCTGCATCGGTAAACATGGCAATTCATATGAACAATTCATATCAATCTATGCTGAAATATTTGATTCAAATGTGGGAAGATGACTCAGTTTTTCAAGTGGTCATTATAAAAGTTAAACCAAGTGCTTTTGGACTAACAAAGGGAGATCTGATGAGGCTAAAAGTAAATACAACCTATTTTGGACAAATTATGATTTAAAGTTCAATAAAATAATAAAATAAAATAAATGTGTGTATATATAAACAGTTGAGACAGGTAAAAAGCTAATACCTATCATAAAGCAGCTGTTCTGTAATAGGTTGTTTTATGCTTAAAACATCTTCATTGTAAGCAAATTCACTTTCTTCTATATATATACAGAGTACTGAGACACCATTTTTACCTGACACAGGACACATGATATAATATGGTGGCTGCAAAAAAATTGAGCTAACATATTGTTAGCCCAACACTATACTGGCACTCCATTCAAGTATTCTTATGAGTATACAGCCATAGATTATACCGTGAATTAAGATGAACATTGAACAAGCTGACTGAATTTGCAATTAGGCTTATATCGAGTTCTAGGCACCTTTGCATTAAGTGTCTCTAATGAAACGTCCTTCTAAATCATTGATGGAGCCACATAAAGACCTAAAACACATCTACACGTATCAAGGAGATCATGAATTATGGATGCACTCAACAGAGACCTGGAGGAAAAATGCATTATACAAAACTTCAGCTCCACTTGAGTTATACTGCTCTCAGAACACTGTGCTCAAGACTTGCAATAGATCTACAATAAACCAAAACGTATTATGAACTTAAACCAAGAAACCTGTATGATAGGTAATCTGGTGCTGTGGATGAAATCTAGCCATCGTAGCAGTCAACAAACTCCACGGATGTGTATAAGAGGCTGGGTAACAGGAGGTAGAGCTGACAGATTTAATCTACCGGCCAGCCAGGAGAGGGCCAAGAGCGCTTCTCCTAGATCGGGGTGCGGAGTGGGTCGCACTTGTTTTCCTGAGCTTCAGCCTGCATTTTAACAAGTGTGATAAATCACGGCACACATCTGAGCACAAAGGCTGTCTCACTGAGCTCCTTCACCGGCCAAAAAACGCCCAGCTCTGCTGACTCAGCAGCGTGCTTGAAAGGTCTTCAAGACACTCGAGACGTCTCCACATATTACAAACCTTATCATGTTCTGAATAATGAAAATTGGTGTGAAAAAAACTCACAATGTGGTGCATGTTTATGTTATATGAGTGTTGGGTTGAATCAATGCAGTCCGGAATACCTGGACAGAGTTAGCCGTTAGCATTCCCATGGCACATGCACCTGGAAGTACATGTATACTGCAATCTTTGCTCATGGACACTCAGTTCTGGACATATTTTTTGAAGCCAATTACTTGAGCTGTAAATGTCATGTGACTTTTAACATCATATATATATATATATATATATATATAGAGAGAGAGAGAGAGTTCTGCAGTCGTGATGTCAAAACTCGGAAGACTAATTTGACATGTGTTCTCTCGAGAATGGGTTTTTTTCAATGGGGTTTTTCAATTTATGAGTAAAACAAGGTCTGTGGTAAATGTAAATTGACAATACTGATTTTTATTATTATTATTATTGTTTTTTTTAATTATGTTGTACAACAAAACGTCCATGTATGTCAAGTTACGTTTACCATAAGAAAAACTCTTGGCAAATTAGTCTTCTGAGTTTTGACATCACGGCTGCAGCACTCTATATAATAAAGAAGTACTAGTAAATTAATTTGTGGTTAATTTTGCATAGCCATCAATGGGAAAAAAACAGGCTTTGCGTGCTCGGAATGTAGTTACAGCAGGGGCTAGCTGCTTGCTAATGCTAACTAGCCAAACTTTAACCTTCTGTGTTGAATATTACACATAAAGGTATTAAATAAAGCTACTGCAGGATCATCATCGAACTGCAGAATTTGTGAAAATCTACAACAGATCACCAGAATACTGTTTTAATTGCTCTTGAGGCATCTGCTGAATGTGACTTTTCGCTAACAGCCCATTTTAACTTTCTCTGCACGGTCATTACAAATGTTCAGTCTGTTCTGAGGACTCTCAGATTATTCAGACACCTCCACACTTGGCACTTGCCTCCGTCTCCAGTCACTCTCAGTGATAAGTGCAAACAAGCGGCACTTCTGCCGGTGCCAAGTTTGGATTCTCAAGTCATTTTGCCTCTGGTTTTGCTAGTCTGAATGAAGCCGATGATCCATCCGGAGTGGCATTAAACATCCCAGACGGGCCAAACGGGGTGCTGCTTTTCTGATGAAATGTCACCTAGCACCAACACACAATGATTAAGGACAGAGACGCACCTGCATATGAATGATGAGCATGACAAACTGATTGGCACATGCATTTCCAGGAGTCAAACCTCCAGGTCTCATCACTTTATTACCATGAGAATCCATTCCAAAATGGGAAACAAATGCTACTCCATTTTATTGAACAAACGACCCCCATTCCCTCCCCCATTTATTTCCATAACCCTGCCAAATATATGAGGTTTTATACTGTAAGACACTTAATTACATTAGTTGCACTTTACTTGACACTCTCCCAGGAAATGCCTGCATAGGTCTTGAATAATAATGACACTCGCATTTCCACTGCCTTGGACATGTAAACTGACCACCATCTTCTTTAATACGGACAGCTGGCTGGAGGTCAATCGACACCCATACCTGTATCTGTCCATCGCTAATGTTCAAAATTGATTTATACGGTTACAACGGAGGCGGTGCCATGCACACAAGAACGTTTGTGGGTTTCGCACTAAAATTCAGTCTGGGGGGTGTTTATGTTAAATCCTGTCTAAGCAAGAATAAACAGCCTTAAGGTATTTAGCAGTTCAGAGTAGAGATGGTCAATCAGAAGTACTGCAGAACACTCCTGCCCCTTAAAAGTAAAAAGCTCCGTGGGTCCCTCCGAACCGACATTGTGCACCATGTCATCATGGGACAAGCATGGAACGGTCACACATTATGGTCCCATGCAACTCGCTGTCGCGAGATTTTGACTCAAATCCATGTTGTGTTCATTAAAAACTCAAAATAAACAAAACAATCTATCTAGCTTACCGTATTTTCTTAAAACCTACAACGATTACTGCATGACACCATACTGGTATGTGTGTACAAAAAATGTATTACAGAACATAATTCAATTACACTGTTGAAAATGACACTTTTGACGTGAATGAGTTTAACAGCAGTAGCATTAGTTTTGAATGGTCTTTTCAAGTAAGAAGCAGAGAAAAGAAAATGTAAATAAAAGTCCATTACAAGAAAGTATATATTTTCTGAATCGTCTAAAATTATGTACAGTTTGTCACAAAAAACACGTTTTCCATGTCAACACACAAACTTGGTGCCTATTCCTAAAAAACACCCTTCCAAATTAGTTAATATCTTAATAATAATAACAACAACAAAAGAATAAGAAACTTAAAATGAATGAAGGTAATGAAAATAAGGACTTTATCTCCTAAATGGGCCCTAGAATAATTATATCGAGATTAATATCAAGAGACTAGGCTTCTTGATAGGGAAAGATTTTCTACAACACTCTCAAAAAGTCCATGATGTGAAAAAAAAACCTTTTCAAACACTCTGACGTTGCCTTGCTTAAACATAAATGAATAAGAAACTTAAAAAGACAAAAAAAACAGAATGATACAAGCACCGAACACTTTGCTTAATTCCAATACATGTAACTGATATTCTTTTTTGTTTGTTTGTTTGTTTGTTTAGCCTGCGAGAGGATCAGAAAGGCGTAGAAAACTGAAGGGTGTGGTTGAAGAGTGGACGGGACTCCTCTCCTCTGGCGAGCCCCAGTTTATGAGAGCACTAGCACAGTCAGCATGGAGAACATGAGAGTGACGAGAGCGTACGTCACAGAGGAGCAGCCAAGGGTTGCTGAGACCACACATCCCACACCACCACACCAAAAAAAGACACCCGAAGACCACAGGGACAGTGCACAGGAGAAAAAAAAAATGGGCAAAAATAGGGGAAAAAAACAACGTTTTGAGTGCGTGTTTGAAAATGCGATGATCCGGTGATGTCCGATTTTACATATGGAGACAGAAAAAGGGAAAGAGGGAGGGAAGGAAGGAAAAAACAGGGAAAGAAATTGGGAGAGAGGGAGAGAGAGAAAAAAGAGAGAGACAGAGAATAGGTCAAATACAGAAAATTAAGTTTAAAAGGTTAATCAAGAAAAGAATATCAAAGGAAAGTTCCAGCAAGTTAAAAACACAGCAATGACAGCAAATCGAGAATGAAAGGACAACGATAGTCAAATGATGGGAAACATGGAATGATAAGGGACACCAAGACACGTACAATCAAGAAACACAGATCAGGCAACTGTCCTGGTATTTGACATTGCATATATACTTTACAGCCAATTTTGATAAATCTTACATATCCTCTCTTTCTTTAAAGGTGAAGTGTGCAATTTCCGCTCTACTAGCCTCTCAAAACTGTATTGCAACATTAATAACAAAAAGAGTAATTGGACTGCAATTGCTCTGTCAAATAGATAGTCCCATCCCAAACCCAGTGGTCATTAATAGCACCACAGAGACAGTGTTTACACTTTTTGAAGGAATTCATCTACAAATGGCTTATTTATAATGGTCTCTAATTCACAGATAGTGAAGGTATTTTAAAATGAAACATTATAACATAAAAAGCACACTTCAGATTTAAACAAGTGCTGCCAGAAAATTGCATTTAAATGAATTATAATGAATTCAAATCAAGAAAAACATTCTACAGGAAATTCGGAAAAACAGGCTTTCATCTTTCTATGTCGCAAACACCAGGGAAATGTTGCCCAGTCAGAAGACAAGGCGAAACAAACAGGTTATGATGCAATACAGTGTAATAAAGTGCTGAAATGAGTTTTCTGATCTTATTTAAATGGCACAAACGTTAATGGGCGTTGTATTAGAACAGCTTTTACTCCTTGTCAACTGTAGCCGGGGAGATTTGGATTACATGAATTAGAGCTTTAGCATTTATCGTGTGGCCAGGGTTGAGCTCAACCCATTACCCGTACCATGCACGAAAATCCACTGGCTCCCTATTTTAATTCCTGCCAAACTCTCGACGTGCTGACCATCTGCAAAGCGAAGGAATGTGTCATGTGATAATAATAGTGTCCAGACAGTTTTAAGGGTTTCTAACCTGTCTCCTGCAAGCTGGTCTGATTATAAGACTCTAGAGAAGCGTGAATCGCTGTCTGAGCAGCTGTTTTTGGACCATCGTTTCTAACAGCAGCTGCTCCAGCTGATGCAATGCAGATGTTGGGCTAAAAATAAAGCCACTTTTTTTAACTCCCATATGTTACACATTGAGGTTAAACTCCTGCCCTTTAAAAGTAAAAGGCTCCGTGGGTCCCTCCAAACCGACATTGAGCACCATGTAATCATGGGACAAACATGAAACGGCCACGCATTACGGTCCCATGCAACTCGCTGCGGCGAGATTTCGACTCGAATCCATGTTGCGTTTGTTAAAAACACAAAATAAACAAAAAAATCCATCTAGCTTACCGTATTTTCTTAAAACCTACAATGATTACTGCATGACACCATACTGGTACGTGTATACAAAAAAATGTATTACAGAACATAATTAAATTACACAGTTGAAAATGACACTTATTGAAGTGAATGAGTTTAAACAGCAGTAGCATTAGTTTTGAATGGTCTTTTCAAGTAAGAAGCAGAGAAAAGAAAATGTAAATAAAAGTCCATTACAAGAAAGTATATATTTTCTGAATCGTCTAAAATTATGTACAGTTTGTCACAAAAAACACGTTTTCCATGTCAACACACAAACTTGGTGCCTATTCCTTAAAAACACCCTTCCAAATTAGTTAATATCTTAATAATAATAACAACAATAACAAAAGAATAAGAAACTTAAAATTAATGAAGGTAATGAAAATAAGGACTTTTTATCTCCTAAATGGGCCCTAGAATAATTATATCGAGATTAATATCAAGAGACTAGGCTTCTTGATAGGGAAAGATTTTCTACAACACTCCCAAAAAGTCCATGGTTTGAAAAACATCTTTTCAAACACATCAACGTTGCCTTGCTTAAACATAAAATGAATAAGAAACTAAAAATGACAAGAAACAAAAAAGAAAACAGAATGATACAAGCACCGAACACTCTGCTTAATTCCAATACATGTAACTGATATTCTTTTTTGTTTGTTTGTTTGTTTGTTTAGCCTGCGAGAGGATCAGAAAGGCGTAGAAAACTGAAGGGTGTGGTTGAAGAGTGGACAGGGCTCCTCTCCTCTGGCGAGCCCCAGTTTATGAGAGCACTAGCACAGTCAGCATGGAGAACATGAGAGTGACGAGAGCGTACGTCACAGAGGAGCAGCCAAGGGTTGCTGAGACCACACATCCCACACCACCACACCAAAAAAAGACACCCGAAGACCACAGGGACAGTGCACAGAAAAAAAAAATAGAGGCAAAAATGGGGAAAAAATCAAGTTTTGAGTGCGTGTTTGAAAATGCGGTGATCCGGTGATGTCCGATTTTACACATGGAGACAGAAAAAGGGAAAGAGGGAGGGAAGGAAAAAACAGGGAAAGAAATTGGGAGAAAGGGAGAGAGAAAAAAGAGAGAATAGATCAGAGAATAGGTCAAATACAGAAAATTAAGTTTAAAAGGTTAATCAAGATTAGAAAAGAATATCAAAGGAAAGTTCAAGCAAGTTAGTAAAAACCAAAGTAAGAAGGCGGTAGCATGTTAAAAGCACAGCAATGACAGCAAGTCGAGAATGAAAGGACAACGATAGTCAAATGATGGGAAATATGGAATGATAAGGACACGAAGACACGGACAATCAAGAAACACGGATCAGGCAACTTTCCTGGTATTTGACGTTGCATATATACTTTGCAGGCAGTTTTGATAAATCTTACATATTCCCCCTCTCTTTAAAGGTGAAGTGTGCAATTTCCTCTCTACTAGCGTCTCCAAACTGTATTGCAGCATTAATAACAAAAAGTGTAATTGAATTGCAATTGCTCTTTCAAATAGATAGTCCCATCCCAAAGCCAACGGTCATTAATAGCATCACAGAGACAGTGTTTACACTTTTTTTAGAGAATTTCATCAAATTTTCATCTTTCATCATTTATAATTGTCTCTACTGCGCAGAGATAGAGAAGGTATTTTAAAATGAAATATTATTAAATAAAAAATACACACTTCAGCTTTAAACAAGTGCTTCCAGAAAATTGCATTTAAATTACTTATAATTAATTCAGATCAAGAAAAACATTCTACAGGAAATTAGGAAACAAACAGGCTTTCAACTTTCTATGTCGCAAACACCAGGGAAAATGTTGCCCAGTCAAAAGACAAGGCGAAAACAAACAGGTTATGATGCAATACGGTGTAATAATGAGCTGGATGACTGAATGAGTTTTCCGATGTTACTTAAACTGCACAAACGTTAACGGGCATTGTATTAGAACAGCTTTTATTCCATGTCAACTGTAGCCGGGGAGATTTGGATTACAGGAAGTAGAGCTTTAGCATTTGTCGCGCGGCCAGAGCTGAGCTCGACCAGTTACCCGTACCACGCACGGAAATGCACTGGCTCCCTATTTTAATTCCTGCCAAACTCTCGACGTGTTGACCATCTGCAAGCTGAAGGGATATGTCTTGTGATAATAATAGTGTCCAGACAGTTTTAAGGGTTTCTAACCTGTCTCCTGCAAGCTGGTCTGATTATAAGACTCTAGAGAAGCGTGAATCGCTGTCTGAGCAGCTGTTTTTGGACCATCGTTTCTAACAGCAGTTGCTCCAGCTGATGCAATGCAGATGTTGGGCTAAAAATAAAGCTGCTTTTTTGAACTCCCATATGTTACACATTGAGGTTAACAACTCTGCAATGTGTAAGTGTGGCGAGATGAGAAAAGAGACAAAGGAAGGCTTTTCTATCCATCCGAACCTGTCTTGCACAAGTGCTCCGAGATCCAAAGCTCCCACTGCTATATGGCTGCTTCCCACTAAGCGGATGAGAAAAAGCAGGTCTCTTGGCCATGCACCGGCAGATGCCTGTTAGGTCCTCAGTAAAGCATTAAACCATTAATCCTGTTGAGGCGTCATCATGCAAAACCAGAGGATGCATCCCCACTGAGAACAGGCAGATAGTCAGCCCAATTCAATTGGTCTGCCACAATGAGCCTGAACTGAGCCTCAGTTCAGCCTCCAGAAAGAGACCGAGGGATGATCTAAGGCCCAATTTTTATCAGCGGGGAAGCAGCTCGCTAGAAAACAAAAACACAGCACTGCCAATGGAGCACAGACCAAACGAGCCCGTGGTGGAGGGGGTGGATGGTTTAACGGGCCTGCTGTGGCTTTTTGCCTCCCGAGTGCCAAATAGAAAATCTCATCTTCACTGATATCATCTACAATCGCTCCGAGATGAGCAATAAAGCCGGCTGCAAGAGTCAGGTGGAGGTTGCCGGAGGGGTCAGGGCTCTGGAGAGGAGCTGTAGGTCTCCAGACTTCACCCGTGGCCACCTCTCACAGACATTTATCACTCTGCACTCTTATTACTCTTAGATTGTGTCAAATCACTCTCTAGAGGAGGCCAGGCCACAACCTGAATTGACACAAGGGTGGCCTGTGTAATCCACAACAAGACCTGCTAGTAGGTAAATATTTAAATAGTTACTGCTCAGTAATATTTGAAAAACGAATGTCCACCAAATCAAAGGCAAAAAAATAAAAAAAACCATAAAAACAGGAAATTGTCATAGAGAGGAACCCTGCAGACCCTCATGACTGTGTGCCAAGGTAAATAAGTCTCTTAAAATATCACATAATTTGACCCTTTTTATGACAAATGTCATTTTTAGAATTATTAAATGTAACTATTGTCTTGAAAATGGTATGAACATTTTTCAAAATCAACCATGAATACAAAGAGTTGATTTCTAAGAGCACTGTGCACATGTGTTTTAAACTAGATCCCCTGCCCCCCTTTTTTTTTTACCATGGACACTTTTATGTCACTGAACTGTGAATTTCACTACCTCTCCATAGGCATGTCACTCTTGCAATGGCGGTATAAATAATTCAGACAACAGGATGAGAAAAGTATGTTACCTCATGCCCAATCATACTCACAGCTTTGTAGCGCACTAGATAGTGTTTGATGGGAGAGCCCCCATCGTCCTGCTTGATCCAGTGGACCTTCATCTCGTTGCCTGTGGACAGTGGCTTAGCGTCCAGTTTAGGAGGATTAGGTTCCCCTGAGGAGAAAACGGCCAGAAAAAAACGCTGTTAGAAGACCCTCGCACAGATTCAAAATGTGTCCTAACCCAGCCACATTTCCACAGGTGAATGTCCCCTCATCCTTTAACAGCTGATTTGTAATCCACAAGGTATTCTTTATCTCTGAATATGAACTGCAGAAATAGGTTAGCTAATCAAACTCCTGGCTAATTTTAGCTCATAATTAATTTACAGTGTTGACCCAGCTGGGAGAATTTAAAAGGAAATTATATGGTTGTGTATGGTCTAAACTAAGCACAAAAAAATGGTAAAATTAACGATCAAAGGAAGAGACGTAACACTTTATAGTTGAGTCACTTTGCAAAGTTTCAATTCCTCTGTTCTCGTTTTTGGCTAAACTGTCGAGACATCTCATTGCACAGGTTTTTTGGCAGTATAATGATGACTTCTGCCTCCCATCCTCCAAACGTGGAACATTAATGAAAGCACTTGGCTCTTGTAAAAGTGGAGCTGAGTCGCTTGGGCATGTGGAGGGCTGTAATGAGAGCTGGACCTGTGTTGGTGGCAGTGATGGAGGAAGAGAGCGCCACTGTAATGCAGTCTCTGGGGGAGCTCGTTATCTCGACTTGCCCACTACTTAATGACAGAGCTCCCTTAATTATCCTCCATGCTTTGATTGGAGATTCTCAGCCATTACATTTAATAATATCAGCGGGCTGAAGGGGGAGGGAAATGCGCATGTGTGGGCGCTTGTTTGGGATGTTAGCTGTCTACCTGTGTCACTAGTGGAGCCTGGGAGGAGACCACAGTGCTCTGCTCCCATTAATCATCATAAATAGCTGCTAGACAAGAGCCCCTATTAGGAACTGATGTGACACTGTGTATATACACCACCAAATGAAACATGACAAATGAGATACATTTTAGGTCAAGGAAATTGGATATTTGAATGTTTGACCAAAAACATATAATGAACAAGTTAAATTTGATGTTTTGGATTCAGTTCTGCTTATACGTTTACATTCTCCTGGCAGAATCTGCAAGATAGTTAACATATTATTTTGCAAAATAACATGGATCATAAAAATTATATATATATATTTATATTTTTAACAAATACTGTATAATATAATATAATACAATACACAAGTTTAGGGTCAGAAAGATTTTTTTTTTAAAGAAATTAATACTTTTACTCAGCAAGTATGCAATGAATTGATCAAACATAAAAGTAAAGGCTTTTTTTTTAAATGATATAATTATAATGCTACAAAAGATTTTTCAAATGAATGCCATTCTTTTGAGTTTTCTATTCATCAGAGTCCTGAAAAATCAGGGTTTGCACAAAAATATTAAGGAGCACAAATATTTTCAACACTGATAATAAGAAATGCCCAAGCACCAAATCAGCATATTAGAATGACTTCTGAAGGATCATGTAAAGGCTGGAATAATGGCTGCTAAAAATTATATATTAAAATAGAAAACAGTTATTTTAAATTGTGACAATATTTCAAATTTTTTACTATTTTACTGTATTTTAGAGAACTTAAAGTGACATCTTTCAAAAACATTAAAAACCCTTACAGACTCCAAACTTTTGAACAGCAATATAATATAATATAATAATACTATCCACAAAACAACTGAATTTAGAGTTGATTCTGTTCAAAAGTTAACATTCTTGGTTCCTGCTCTTGTATGACTTGAGCATCAATGACATTTTGTAAGATTTTGTGATAGTTTTGGTTTGTGAAGTGAAGCGGCCCACTGTTCTCCAAGTCCTGTAAGTTCTTTGGTTTCCCAGCATACTCTGCATATTTGAGTTGTTCTCTGCATATTTGAGTGGCTTCATGATGTTTTGTCACGTAGGACAATACCAAACTATAATAAAAGGCTTCAAACAGTCTATCAAACAGATAATTTGTGTAAATTAAGTTACCATTTATTCTTGGGGAAAAAGACAAAAAAAAAAAAAAACTTTTATAGCTCCTCCAGGCAAGTACTAAATACAAAATACAGATTCTGCAAAGGCTATGCAAAATATGTAAACTTGAAACCGTAACCCTCTATGTATATGTTTGTTCTGGTCTCATATCTTGATAAATCTCTTCATAGTCTTCTGTAATTAAGCTTAATTTAAGTTAGAGGCATTTTTGAAACTTTCAGACCATCAGGCAGTTAGTTTCAGCATGCATGAAAATAGAGGCCTAAGGTGTTTCCTTCGAGATAAATTGAAGCTTGATTAAAGTTTGTAATCAGATGCTGCAATTTAAATGAAAACAAGTTAATTTAAGACAAGCAGTGCAGGAGTGATGGCAGTTAAACAGGTTTTCTGAGATCCAGTCATCATTTCCAGTTAGCTGAAGGACTTCCAGATGCTAAGAAGGCAAAGAGGGACAGATTAGGGTTACAGAGAGAAAGAGGGCAAACATGCGCTACCATGCAGAAGGAGGATTCGATTAAAGGGTCATGGATTATTGTGCCACTCGATCATGACTAATAATGACTGCTATCCTATCTTGACAAATTTCAGGAATAGCAACTGAGAGATACTACAGAAAAAATGACAGAGACAGTATCTCATCTCAAACCAAGTGTGTCGTTAAAAATGTTTGGGTAGGAGAAGAGAGAGTAGAAGCATTTTCTTGAAATACGAGGAAGTGAAGCTCTTCCACTTCTCCATTTCCACATTGGAACAGCAGACAGGGACAGTGAGCAGGTTCATTCGTCAGACAAAGACGTACAATTAGGACATGCATGAGAGGCTTTGAGTATGCAGACTGAGACGAGACAGAGAACAGAAGTGTGTGTGAATGTGTTCATGCAATTAGCTGATGTTAGTCTTTGTGATATAGCACAATTTATCATATAAAGCACATTTATGATGTGCTAATGAATGAGGGGATGATGATTGTTCTTTATAACGATTTGTACAAAAACAAGTGAAAAGGATGTCTTTTTTAATAAATGAGTTTGTGAGATGTCAAAAACCTCTCATTAGTTTTTTTTAGTTAAGCAACTCTCTTAAAGCAATAGTTTACCCAAAAATGAACATTTGTTGAAAATGTACCTGCCCAGGATGTAGATGAGTTTGTTTCTTTATTGGAAAAGTTTTGGAGAAATTTAGCATTAAATCACTTGTTTACCAATGGATCCTCTGCAGTGAATGGGTGCTGTCAGAACGAAATTTTAAACAGCTAATAGAAACATCAAAATTATCCACAAGTATTCCACACAACTCCAGTCCTTCAATCAACATCTTGTGAAGTGAAAAGCTGAGTGTTTGTAATAAACAAATCCATCAAGAAGTTTTTAAATTCAAACCATTGCTTCTGGCTAAAATACAAGTCCTCTGTCCAAAATATTGCTTTCTCTGATGGCACCCATTCACTGGCATAGGATTCAATGGTGAGCACGTCAAGCTAAATTTATCAAAATCTCATCCAATGAAGAAACAAACTCATCTTCATCTTGAACGGCCTGAGGGTAAGTAAATTTTTTTAACAAAAAAGGACATTTTCTTAAAAAGTTACATCATTTATTAAAAGAAGAGTTGGAGTGGGAGGGTAGAAATGACTTCTACATCAGTACAGTAAAACATATATTGAAAATCAATAAAAAGTTGAACATGCAGAGCACCTAGCAGTATGTGTAGGAGACTAAGCTTTGGGATTACTGTATAGGCAGAGTGGCTGATGGTTTTCAAATAGCCAAATAAAGTAGGTGGTGTGAGATTTCTGAAGGATTAATGACTCAAAAAATGAAATGGCTCATAAATCCTGATGGTACTGGGTGGGTGTTTCCTCTATCTTCCCCTCATTAACTTGTCTGTTCTCACTGTTAATGGGAATCGGACCAAAATAAAAAAACAAAAGCGAAAGCAAAAAAAAAAAAAAACTACAACATAAAATCAACAAAATATTACCTTCTGTTCATCAGCGAAGACGACATCATCAGCACCATGCAAGAGTCATAAGTCACATGATATGCACGCACATGATTGGTGGAAAGGAAAGTGGAGGGGGGGGGGTCACATGGAAAATACAAAACATTGAAAAAAATTATACAAACATGGAACGTGTTAAGACCAAAAAGTACAAACAGAAAAACAAACAACAAAAGAAAACATAAATTATAAACATAAATACTTCTCTTTAACATTAGATACAGTGTGTATAGACCCATTAAGCAATTCCTGGACAGGTTTTTATTTTTATTTATTTATTTTTTTAAAAACACAAATACAAATCAAAGTACTTACAAAAAAAATCTGCCCTATACCAGCTCTCCTGAAGCCCATTTAAACTATGAGAGTTAGAATAGGGTCCAAATTGCTTTATGAATCCACTTCACCAGCAGTATTTCCTCTGACTGCAAGTGGTACTCTTGATAAGAGGATTCTAATACAGCTCTCTTGCACTGTACATTGAATTATAAATGCTTGTGCAGACTGAATAGCATCAATAGGGCTGCAACACCAACTGAAACAGAGCAGGGCAGCCAAAGGCAGAGGAAACTCAGTGATGTTGACCGTACAGATAGAAACCTGCCTCATCTACTGGACATGAAGCTGGATGCTACAGAATGGGCAAATGAGAAGCATTAGGGCAGAGACTGTCCATGTGTACGAAGAGTCCGGGACAATACCATAGCAGTGTTTTCCATCACAAACTAGAGGTCTGCAGTCTACAAGTAAAATACTAGATATGATGCCAAATGTACACCTTCAGACACTTAAGTTACATGTAAAAATGCATAAACTGAAGCCTCCTGGAAGCCGCACTGTATCAAAGCATCTGCTAAAATAGGTTTCCATACTGGGGTCCATACAAAATTTGAGAGTGAGGAAAAAAACCCTACAATATTTATTTTAACAATAAAAATGAAAAAATAAATTTGCTTTTTTGAAGGGAAATAAAATCTAAATTTTCATCTTCCTTGCAATGCACTTACTTTCAAGAATATTTCTATATGTAGTATAGCTATATAACATGTAGTATTCTAATGAGTTTCTAAAGAACTTCAGGCTAAATAAGGAGTGTTTAAGTTTGCAATCTGAGACAGATAACTGTACTAAAAAAATAGGCACATTACACATACAAATATGCACTAACATTCACATTCACTTTGAAGCCATTTGAAATGAGTGTCTATAAACCACCAGGGTTCTTTATAAACTGTAGCTGTCAAGTAATTTAGAAAGTCTGAAATCTTCATGCTGATTATGACTCATTATCATACAAAAGAACAGATCTTTTGTTTGCTTATCTACTCATACAACCCTAAAAAACGCTATTATATTTTAATTTCTTTGACATCTGAATAAGGTTTAGTTTGGTGCAATCTTAAAGCTGCCAGTCAATGTCAACTAAGAAGACAATAGTCAAAAAACTGCCTACTTCTAAGATTAAGACCCTGTCATTTCTCTGACTGAATGAGACAGAATAGCTGTCTCCCGAAAACCTTTTCAGACCCTCCCAATTTGCGGTCTGTTTGTCGAGAGATCAGGTGTAATCCGTGCTGTCATGGTAACTCTATTTTCAGACTAACGCTTGGTGGCGTCTCTCGCAGGATAGTGGGAAGTGAGAGAGCATGTTTTAGTGTTTAGGATCAAAATTTGTTTGTATACAAACAGACGAGACATACACAGATGTAAGACGTCTGTTGTTAATTTGGTGATTGCACAAGTTTGTCGATTTGAACCATGAGACCTTGTGCACTTAAACACAGGTTGTTCCATACTGATGGCTGCTGCATGGCAAATCTCTTCGGATAAAAGCATCTGTGCTTGCATCTCTGAGGGATGTCATGCACTCCCAAGAATGCTAATGTTGACAATTTTGCTTAATTTTGTGAAGACAGCGCCATTAGTTTCCACATTCGTGACAGTATGCAACATGTCTCATCAATATCTCAGAGAGCACAATAGGAGAACTGCATGTGTCATGCGGTTTCTACAATTTTCTGCACATCCAATGGCATAAAAATCAGCACACATCATGAGTTTATAAACCATTAACTATTAGCACAAAAAAGCATGTCAGTTCATGTCATATTCCTGTATGTATACCATGCAGTGACATGTTAGACAGGTGAGCTGGTCTACAAGCGGATGTTAGTGATGGGTCTCTACTGAGGCTTGAGGGTCATGAGCACAATCCCAGTGTCTCACTTCCCCCGCCCTCACTAACATCTACACGGTCTCTCTTCTCTATCACAGACGTGTGTTGTCGGTCTACTGTGAACGTCAGCGGTGTTGACTTCAGGAACAATGGTCTAGGTGAGGCGAACAAACGTGTAGCAGGCGGATAAAGAGTGGCAAACGACACTGCACACAGTCGGCATACTCACTAAGTTCGGCAGTGGTTGGAGGAATGGAAGTTGGAGTCTCTGAAGACGCTGGAAGATGGTGAGAACATGGTGAGATGTGCTTCCGTTGTGCCGCACTGATTGCAGAGCCACTGCTGCAACAGTTTCATAGCAACTAACTAGTGTACATCACACCGCAGCAACATTCAATGAGTCCAGGCAGAAGTGCATGCGACCCAAATAAAAAGTGCCTCAGTGTAGAGACACAAACATATACTATATGTTCAAAGGTGAACACGAAGGGTGTTACTGGGATGCCCTCTGGATCAGAGTAATGACAAAATTTATGTGCATGGCAAAATTGTATTTGAAATTATTTAATCTTATTAGACTTTAGTCGTTCAGTTGGATATGTGGCATGGGTAACGAAGTCTAATGAGAAGTAGTAAATTGAAATGATGCCAAACATTTTAATTGCACAAAACAGACATCACAATTTTTATTAGTTCAGTAATCAGTAATGCTGTTCTTCTGAACTTTCTATTTTTTAAAGAATATTGAAAAAATTAAAATTACTTTTATGGATCTCGGATCCAAACAACTGTTTTCAACATGTTTGTTAAGCACTAAATCAGAAAATTAGAATGATTTCTGAAGGATCATGTGACACTGAAGACTGGAGCAAGTGCAGCTGAAACGTCATCTTTGCCATCACAAGAATAAACTACATAAAATATATTAAAATAGAAAAGTTATTTTTAATGGTAAGAATATTTCACAATATGCTGTCTTGGTGAGCACTTTTAAAAACATAAAAAAGAAAAAGAAAAAAAAGAGAAAAAGAAAATCTCACCAGCTTCAAACTTTTGAACAGTAGTGTGCTTTTATGTATATATATATAATATAGCAATATCAAACTAAGTAATTAATAAAATGAATGTACCTAACCATCTTTTACACATTTCTTGAGAGAGCAACACAAGCTGATTTCAAGTGCAAAGAACATATATGACACCATCACTCCTAGCAAGAGAACAACAACATTTCAAAGAACAGCCACTTTTGGAAATTGCACAAACAATTTAACGCTTATGACGACAGTTGATAGTAACGTAGTTTGTAGATCGGGAAGAAGGAGGCGGGAACAGGCGAATATTTAAAGATTTTAATAAAATAAACAAACACAAAACAAAAGTAAATCGGCAGCCCCTCGCGGACGACTGCCGCACACAAAATACAAAATAAACTCCAGGCCTGGTCCTCTCTCCTCTTTCACTGTCGTCCCTCCTCCTTTTTATCCTTCCGGAGCTCCTCCGTGAGACTCGAGACCGGTGAGTGGCGCAGGTGTCGTGCATTAGCAATTACTCCACCGGCCTCGCTCCGTTCCCACGGCTCTCGGCCCCGCCCCTCTCGTCACAATAACATTCCACATATTACTGGGCTCCGAGACACACATAATAACCTGTATTTAAATGGCATGGTTGACCGAGCTGAGCCGTGACAGTACAGATGTCTCAAGCCGCAAGGACACCACTCGATTCAAAGTGCGATATTTTCCTGGAAGTGCATTAGTGCCAGAGACTTTCATCTTCAATATACCCTCATCTATCTAATCTGAGAATGCTGGCTTTCACTGAACTGAACCTCAGAGCCTTGGAGTTAAACGCTAAGCACTTTGAGTGGAAGACAGTGATATGATGGAGGCAAAATATGCCCTGTTTCCTCTTTTAAGCTTAACGCAATTAGGCAAAGGCGCAGCCTGTTTGTGAGCCGAGTGTCTGACAGATGACAGACTATGTTAGCGTTTCAAACACTGTTTGACTGAAGAGAGCCGAGCTTCTGTCTTTTAATCTCTTTCTTTCTGCACCAGCTGTGAATTTATTTCAAGGAACTTGTAGATACTTGGTGACAAAGGGAGCCTGAAGTGCTAACAGCATCGTCAGTTAGTCCTTGGAGGATTAAAGGGATAGTTCACTCAAATATGAAAATTCTGTCATCATGTATTCACCCTTGTGTTGATTCAAACCCATATGAACCCCTTCTTTCTTTCGTGGAACACAAAAGCAGACATTTTAATTATGTACTGGTTGTGCTTTTCAGATGGGGACTGGAGCTTTGAAGTCGTCAAAAGGCCATAAAAGCATAATAAAAGAATCATAAAAAGTCATACAATACTTTTTGACGAACAGACAGAAACTTATTAACTGAAAATCAAGTGAGTTGTTAACCACCACAACAGAATCAATGATTCAGTGAGCTGAACTCGAGAATTGGATCAGTATGATTTAATGAAAAGATCCGACTCAAAAGAACGATTCATTCACCAGTCACTACTCTAATGAATGGGCCAAGGAAAGCTAACCTGCAAGTCAATATATTTCACATGTGAATAAAATACTACATTTTGGCCTGTTCGTAACATAAAGCAATCATAATATTTCAGAAGTCATGCAGACCACTTTTATTATGCTTTTGCACCTTTCTTGGAACTTGAAAGCACCAGTTCACATTCATAGTAATTGCACTAAAACGAGTGACCACATTTTTTTAAAAGTACCCCATTTATGCAGAAGAAATAATGTTATACAGGTTTGGAACGACTTGAGGGAGAGTAAATGATTTTCATTTTTGGGTGAACCATCCCTTTAACACCACAGTGATAAAAAATGCTTATTTATTTTAGCTTCAAGACAATATTAACGAGCTCAGATCTTTCTTCTCTCTGATTTCCAGTGTTATAACTTGCACACAACTAGTCACTGCAGGCTTATTGATCTCACAAAACACTGATCTGTTCTACAATTTGGCCTACTGCTCTGCAGATGAAAAAATACATGCTAAAATGGAACTGTATTATCCGCTGTGGTCTGATGAAATGCTGTGGGGCAGTTACATTGTCTAGTGCTTTGTAGATATCACAGAGCAGAGGCCGAGGTTCAAAGCACACAGAGCGTCTCAGACAGAGAGGAAAATTGCTCTGCTGAATAATAAGGATTATCATATTGTAAGTGTTTCATGTCAAGGGGAATGAAGGGGTGTTAATGCCGTTGCAGCAGTGATCACAATTAAAGCACTCCAGAACTCTACCTGAGGACGTGGACCATCTGCTAGTTCGCTGGCCTGTGTCTCTATCTGTGAGAGATGTATTCACCTGCACTGATGCAGAGAAACCACTGAGAACCACCAGATGTGCAAGGCAATAGATCTAGTTTAAACCATCTCTCAGGGGTACTAAATAAGTGAGCACAATCTGATGAAGTGCCACGTAAACTGTTTTACAGTCTATGTTCTGTGCCCCATTATGATTGCATTAAGTGTTATTAAAGAGGTTTGGTTGTACAAGTTGGGTTGTATTTGAGATAGAGTCAATACAGTATAGATGACTGTAATGTTTATGTGTGAAAACTGATACGCAGAACTGATTTTAATTGTTTTATTTCTTCTTTTTGACACAACAATAACTATGATAATGATCATTAGACTACAACTTTAAAAGCATAATATTCTAAATGAATTACTGATAAAAAATATTAGTAAGTAGTACTTTTGTTATTTATTTGCAATTATTTGCAAGCATTATTTGGGCTGTTATGCTAAATGATTTTCAATGTTACTGTTACTTAAGTTGAATTATTATTGAAAAAATATACTGAATAAATGATAAATTATTAAATTAAAATTAACATGTAAAACGATGCCCATAATAAAGATAAAAGACAAGCTCTAAACATCACCACCTGACAAAAACAAAACAAAATATGAATTGCTTGTTCCTCATGTGCAAGTCGCTTTGGACAAAACAAAACAAAACAAAACAAAACAAACATTGTATGTTGCTTACTGTGAAATTCCTTCCTTGTGTTTTTCACACACTTTGACTTTAACATTAGGTTCTGAGTTGACCTCCTTTATGTTTGTAAACCTACTATTTTCAGATCAGAGGCCATTTCCACTGCAGGTCTCCATAGGTACAGTCCCTGCTGCGGTGCTCTCTGATCCTTTGCGGTCCGTGGTGATCGCATTCATATTAAAGAAAGGCTCTGTCAGTGGAGTCTACGTGCTCTCTGGAAGCGGGGTGACCTATGCACAGGCTAGCCATCAGAAAGCCTTGCACACAGTCATGGAAAGAGTCCCTATTTGTCGCTGTGAATATTTTAGCTGTCACCTGAGATGACCCTACTGCGGCACCTGAGCTGCAGAGGCGGCATTATCCATCAGAAAACTCCCAGAGGTGTCCATCAATCCTGCCTCTATCGCTTATGTGACAGGCCTAGCTAGCTTTGTCATCACTCCATCTCCATACACAATACCAGCCTTTTCATTCACGCTCATAGCACATAAAATGGAGAGGAGCTCTCATGCTTTGAATCACTGGTCCCTGCAGCACATAACACAGTAATGTGAATTATATAGTGCTCCTTTACAATTTCCACAGGCTGTGGAGGCCAGAGGCACGGATCCCTGCTCTTGAGGAGAAATATTTTCAGTCACGCTACTGACAACAACGTCTTTTGTGTCATTGTCTTCCTCTTCCTCTGGCGCTCTGGGCACTCTATTGGCTGAGACTGTGGGATGGCCTGTGGTGATAAATCTCTGACACGCACCTGAGAGCACTACCGTACATCTTACTTGAAGCTCCATCTACGTCAAACTACACCACTCACTGCAGACATGATGTTGCTTTATAATGGATGGAGTCAATCTCTCATACTTCCCTAACTGTTAAAGAAATAGTTCACCCAAAAGTCAATTTTGACCATTATTTACTCAACTTCATGTCATTCCAAAGCTGTATGCTTTTATTTTTGTCTGTGGAACACAAAAGGAACCATTTGAAATAATTTCTGACTTCCTGTTTTCAATGGCAGTACATAGTGACCAGTCGATCAAGCTACAAAGGCACTGCAAAAAGTGGACCATATGACTCATAAACTATGTTTGAAGTCGTCTGAAGCATATGATAGCTTTTTATATGAGGAACAGAGTGGAGTCAAACTGTATAGCATGTCAAATTAAATATGATGTCTACGGCACAGGTTTAACAATATTTGGTCACAAGATGTGAAAACCAACTCATTTTATTGACACCCAACCTGCTCATTTGACAGTAAATAATTATTTAAATTTAGATCTGTTCATGAAACAAAGCTACTGCATCAGAAATCGTATTTTAAACTACTTTCACTTTTTTGCACCAGTGGTAACTGTAAATTATCTGAGTATGGAAAAATTAGTGTGAATATCTTTAAAAACGTTCCTTTTGTGTTCCACCTGCTGAAAAAACCCCCACCAAAACCAGTCTAAGCTGGTCTTCTGGACCTCCAAAAAAGTGGCTAAAACCCATCGAAAATCAGTCAAAAAACCAGCCTAGAAGACCACCCAAGACCCGCAAACCAGTTTAGGCTGGTGAAAGCTTTTTAGCATAGACATTGAGAAAATAACAGCATAGAGGTTTGAAATGGCATGAGGTTGTAAATCAAGAAATAACAAAATGTTCATTTTTGGGTGAATTATTGCTTTAACAATTAATTTTCTGTGCTAGATATAGCAAGACTCATTGTTTCTGAGATAGCAAACAACTTAATTATGATTGTTCATAATCAAAGAGAGAAAAGAAAGCTTGAAAAAACATTCTGCTATTGTTAGGATTACTTCTGAGGATTTCTGAAGAACTGTAACTTTTGGCTTTGGTTTGGAAACTCGAAACAAATAAACCCAATCTGGACTGTCACCAGATTTGTGAAGCCATAATTCGATAAGTGTCGATGCTGCCGGCGGTCTCGTTTTGTCATCTACAAATTGATAAATGATCAATAAGTGTTTGAAGTGCCTGGATCATTGTCCTGCCAATCACCTCTTGTGATCACCACGCATGTATAGTTCCAGAGAAAGAGCGGACAACGCGGTCAATCTCATCTACACACGACTGCATCACACTACCATTACGAGATACGGTCTCTGCCTCGCCCATCGCCTCTTTTTTATTCCGCCGTGTAATGATCATGAGAAAGCTTCCGAAGTCAAATGATCCCTGTCAGGGATAATGAGAACAATAGAGAGCCACAACAAGAAAATACTGTCAATTAAATTAGCAACAGCTTCATCACAATGTTATTTGCTTTTCGTTACATAAACAAACAATAGTCATTCTATACTTCAACTGTTTTAAAATTGCTTTTTGCAAAACAATCACCCTCACACAAACTATGAATTAAACACCAACATTAGCCAACGAGGTTGCGACTATCCTACGAATGTGAAATAAATAGCTTGTTTTGACACTTCTGTGGATTTTATGTGTAGTACTGTGAATGAAAATGGAGAGATAACTGCAAACAGACTCTGACTAGGGGAAAATGTACATACCAATGACCAGCATAAAAGTTTAAACGGTGGCTTTTCATCAACAGACCCCAGGAAGCTAAGACAAATTTTCATTTCAAGCCATGACCTAACACACCTGATTCAATTAATCAAGTGTTAATTGCTCCATGTGGCATAATTGAGTTGAACCAGGTGCATATTTACTGTAGGTTTTTGATAAAAAGCAATTTTCTCAATTGAGCCTCCAGGACTGGAAGGAAAGAAAATGTACTGGTCTAAATGATCTCATAGCAAACCTAGATCCTTGTTTGGGTAATAGAATGGAATTCCATCTGGTAAGTACAACAACAGATATAATGTGAGTCGCCACAGTTCTTTAAAGCACAGGCTATAATCAAAACCTATTGCAAAGAGTTTTAAATTCACTGAACCCCACCCCCCCAGACAGTTTTACTTAATTTGCACTGAAATACGAGAGTCCATTTGAAACGAAAATACTCATTTCATTCTCAATACATTCTTATTTAAAGACCCCATGAAATCCATGAATCTATGTCCATACTGTATCTATACGCCTCACCATTTTTTGTCCAATCAAATATACTCTAGTAAGAGACTGTGCCCTCTCAGTGAATTATAAATACCACGTCTCTCAAGGTCCAATCACTGTTCATGACCGTGAAGTAAAAGCCTACTGGCTATTCAAAATAGGACGAGTCCTTCCAAATACACAACTTCCTTCAAACGCAGGAAAGAAAACCGCACTCTCTAACCCATTTCATGGAGCCTTTAACTTCCTATTCAAGCTTTTACCATCTTCTCTAAAGGCTTATTAGTAGATTTGGCAGGAGTGTAGCAATGGCTGAAATGGAAGCAAATGGAAAAACAAACAGAAATGCGAAAGAAAGAGAGCAGAGAGATGGAACACTTACTTTTGAAAGGGGAGCCTGATGTCCAGTGGTACAAAACAAGATGGAAAGCATGATGAGAACCATAAAAACCAGTGAACATAAGAACAGGAATGAATAAAATAGAGGCCAATCCCGACTTGCCATTTTGGGGTTCATCTTATAAAGTGATGAGAAAATCGCCTTGCTGACTCACATTTGGCCAGAATATACTATGTGAATGGCTTGTTAATTCCCAAAATGGCAAAACTGGGTGACCCAAGTAGCTGTTGTGATATGAGTGCAAGCGAGAGAGCAAATGTGGGGACTGTGAAAACATAGGGTGCTGAAGCAAAGATGACATGATAAGAAAAGTAAGATAAGAATTCCTGTCAGCCTGTCTCTGACTTACATCAACGGAGCAATTCACTCCTGCCATGAGCTATTGTACTCCCAATAGAACAATAGAAAAGTCTTGTTTTGTGTTATTTTAGCTTTTCACCCATTTTTGTAAGATTCCCTCCAAAGCTTCTGGGTATTCAAATGGAAATCAAGCTTACTGCCGTATGACTCCTTTTTCGTAACGTTATTACAAAGTGCTTTTGAATCAACTGAATTGGATCAATAAATTGGATTAATAAAGTGACAAGGAATTAGACTTTTTCCGCAATTTAAACTTTAGTCACTTAATCCCTGTGAGTGCAGAAGGAAATTGAATAATCAAACTAGAACTGTGTTTCTGCTCATCCCACTTTTCTTGCAAACTGACTTTTCTAATCTGCTTTCTAAGTGGAACATTCTGAGCCAACGGCTTCGTGTGACATGCAGTAATTAAACCAGCAGATTTGTAGGAATTTTGAAAACTACATTGTGAAATCTAAATATGGATGATGTTTCATTAATGTGGAGAGCTCCACAACACAGAGTCAAGCACTGAAAACCAACCTCAAATTTCACCTGACTTCACTTTCATATAGCTGTGTATGTAAGCCTGTTTCCACCTGAGTGCAAAAAATAAGCTTAAAATAATAAAAAAAAGTGACATTGTGAAATATAAAGTTGCAATTATGAGTTATAAAAAAAATTTAAGTATGAAAAAGTTGCTATTATGACAAAGTCACAATTGTGAGATTGAGATTTAATGCTACAGTTATGAAAACTAGGTAATAATTATGAGATATAACACTGCAATTATTGGGGTACAAAGTTTTAATTATGAGATATAAAGCTGCAATTAGAACATTCATAACTGTGAACTATAAAGTCTGAATTGTGAGATTCAAAGCCACATTTATACGTCACAATTGTGAGCTTTAAAGCCAAAATTTAGATTTTTGTTACAATTATGAAAAATGAAAGTCACAATCAATTGTGAGCTGTAAAGAACAATTATGATAAAATCTAAAATTTTGCAAATAAAGTAATTAAAATATTATTATTACTTTAATTTAAGGCAGAAACAGGCTTATATTCATCGCACACCTAGTGTACATTAGAGCGAAAGTTATAAGTTCTAGTTAAACATGAGAAATGCCATCTGGAAGTATCTTCAAATGATACTGTTGTACAAATGCAAAATATCCCAGCTTCATGAAGATTAGATCTTATTATTGATATTACAATTTCTGAGAGTCTAATCCTGATCTGATTGTAGATACGAGGTTAAAGAGGGTTTCATCATCTACTCTACAGAAGAGTGGCCAATCAACACGGACGACACTTAACAGAGCACACAGCTCTCAGTAGACACGAGACACAGCTGTTGCCTGACACATGCTGGCACCAGCAGAAGAGCCGGACAGACGGGGAGGAGCGCCACATCACTGGGAAGCACTGCTGAGGTGAGAGGCTGCAGTGACACGATGGCCTTCAGGAAATTGTTTAAACACACAGACACATACTTAAATGAACATGCACATCCACATAAAAAATGCAAAAGCACACGGAGAGGACAAGCAATGCATCTCCTGGGAGTGAGATCCAGCAGGGTCCAAGGCAGGGATGCATTGTGGGTAGTGAGGTCTGCTGCTGCACTGAGGAGGGGGGGTTGATGGGCAAAGAAAGCACTAGGGTCATATGATAAAGAGACTGAAAGAGAGAGGAAGACAGAAAGAGAGAGGCACTTACGGACAGGTTGGGTTTTAAAGCTCTCCGGGGGGCTGCTCTCTCCTTCACCCTTGCCGTTGATGGCTGATATCTTGACCTCATACGTGGTCTCTGGCTTCAGCCCAACAATGGTGATCAAGTTGAGACCTGGTTTAGACAGATTTAGAGCTCCAATAAAATATCTGACGTAAAAACATGGTATAAGATGATAAAATATGTCTGGTTTTAACAAAGCATATAAGAAACCTTTCAAAAACTGTTAGATATGACATACATATACTAATTTGATTGCCTTATCAAATTGCACATATTATCACAGCACATGATCTTCAGCATTATAGATAATAGAGATATTTGTCTTAACAGTTAAATAAAAAAATCCAGATTTTAAGGGAAAATGTGCAGAATGGATATAGTGAGAAAAAAGGCATAGTCAATAAGCCAAAATATTAAATAAACAAAGAGGTGAGTGGTGAGTGAAACTTTATCAATAATGGGTTTCCAATTCTGAGAAAGTCTGCAGGACTTTTTGTGGGTAGTTCTGATGGGCACAGATTCTGTGTGCTTTCCCAGAAGACCCTGCAAAGAATTTTGAGTTTCATATTTGTAGTAAAATACATTTTAGTTTGATCCAAAAACGATCCTGCAATAATAGTCATCACTCAGAGGTTTTCCCAGAGGTCCCCATGCAGCATCTTACATTTCATTTTTGTATTATATTACAACCATTAGTTTTCATCGTCTAATTGCATTGGACAAGAGTGCTGATATTTCTTTGTGTTGTTCCAGAAACCCTACTTTGGGTTCGTTTGAAACGATTTTCTTTGGCAGAACAAAAGTAAACAAAATAACTGGCCACATTTTGTCTAAAATGTGAATTATTTGATATTAACTTACACTAGTATTCAAAAGTTTGGGGTTGTGTTTTTGAAAGAAGTCTTTCATGCACACCAAGGCTGCATTTATTTGATAAACAGTCAGTAGTAACAGTAATATTGTGAAATGTTATTATAATTTTAAATATTTTCATGTATATAAAATATATAAATATAATAAATTATATATATATATATATATATATATTTTAAATGTAATTTATTCCTGTGATGGCAAAGCTGAATTTTCACCAGCTATTACTCCAGTCTTCAGTCCCACATGATCTTTCAGAAATCCTTCTAATTATGCTGATTTGGTTCTTCTTATTATAAAAAATAAGAGTTGAAAACGGTATATTTTTGTGGAAACCGTGATACATTTTTTTCAGTATTCTTTAATAAATATAAAATTCAAAAGAATCTCTAAATCTTTTGTAACATTATAAATGTATTTACTGTCACTTTTGATCATTTTATTGCATCCTTGTTGAATAAGAGTATTAAAAAACACTTTTAAGAACAACAGCACTCTTTCTTGTGTGATATTGCTTCAGTAAAGTACACTTTAGTTCAGTATTAGTTTGCTGTTTATCACTATGTTTTCAATTTACAACAATTTAATTCACAATTTAACTCCAAAAGTTCTCCATTTAATTAATTTGACTGGATGATTAAAAAAATAACCAGTTCTAAAGAAAGATTCTCTGTTGCTCTCTCTTATCCTACATCAGTCATCAATCATATATCAATAATGACCAGAATGTGTTGTTTGTGTTTTATTTTTTTAACTTGTTCAATCTGGTACCTTGTGTTTGAGTCTGATGCATGACTATCATATGCCAGTCTAATGCATTAGAGACTAACTGACAAAAGGTTGAGCGATCAAAAAGCCATTGGCTGAGCAGGGGTTTGTGTGTGTGTGTGTGTAGGTGGCTGGTAAGACTGCTTCGTGAAAGGCTGCGTTTGTATGTGTGAGGCTTGTTCTGACGCATGTCCTAAGGAGGTCTGGCAGAGCAAGCAGGCTGTCAGCAGTGAGCAAACTGACATCTCTCCCCCCCCGCCACCCCGAGAGACAGACAGTACCCACAGACAAACAGCGCACATGTCAGGCTGTGACAACTGCTCCGAGCACTCTTATTTAGCATTCAAGTGAACCATGTCCCTTTCCTACATTTGCACATTCTATTTTTGGTCAACTCTGCATCGCATTTCATGCTTGCCAAGCAATATGGCCAATGAAAGAGTTTTTATGGCAGTGGGGAAGGGTATTTTACCACAATTTGAAATGGCTAGCAGCTGTGGAAATTGTTTAGTTGTTATATTGACTACGGGAGGGTGGCTCTATGTGCGTCATAGACTGCTGTTTTCTTCTTTAAGTGTAATACAGCATCTTAACTAGGTGAGAAGCGACAGTGTGACAAGCAATAAAAGCTCTTCCATGTTAATCAAAATTTCTGTCCTAACCAGCTGCAACAGTGACAAGCAAAACTACTGTACATGTTGTCAGTAGCACACAATGAAACCTCACTGCACCAAAATTCAGCTCCTCATGTACACTAAACCTCAAACCGCAGAGAGATTGACTGTGGCATTTAAGAAGCATCTGCTATCAAATGACAAATCTATAGAAGCCCATTACTGTTTGAGAGTAAAATTAATTTGTAAATTTCTATTTTACAATTGCGACTTTTTCTTGATTGCAACTTTAATGTAATTGCAACTTTATCGTAATTGTGCCTTCATGTCTTTGTTGCTCATAACTGAATTGTGACTTTGTATTTTGCTATATGAATTTATATCTCATAACTGTGACTTGGTATTTTGCAGTGTGAATTTATATCTCATAATGTGACTTCTTATCTACTGTACCAATTGTGAATTTGTTACTCATAATTGTGACTGCATTTTGCAATGTGAATTTACAGTATATCTCACAATACCAACTTTGTTACTCATAACTGTAAATTTATATCTTATAATGTGACTTCATATCTACCAATTCCAACTTTGTTACTCATAATTGTGACTTTATATGCCATAATATGACTTTATATCTCACAATTGTGACTTTGTTACTCATAATTGTGACTTTATATCTCGGAATTGTGAATTTATATTGTACAGGGTGACTTCATATGTCACAATGCGCCTATTTCTTATTTATAACTTTCTTTTTTTATTTTTTACTCTGAGGTGGAAACAAGCTTCAGTACAAATTCCTCAAGTTCCTCAAGGAAAACCATAAAAGGGCCATCTGGAGTACACTACGCAGTGTGTTGCAAGTGCGAGAAAGTGTGCAAACACACACTGTTCTGATTGGCTGTGGTTTTATATTTTTGCTTTCAGCACAGGCAGAAAAATAGCTTGTCTCTGGATTCTGCCTTAGGACAGTGTTTTTAAAAACAGTTGCACTAAAACAATATAACTAAGTTAAAACCCTTGCTCTAATACAATCATCTGAGCATCTGTGGTCATTTCTGTATAAAACAATGCTATAAAAACAAGAGCTTGACCTTCACACAAATGAGGAAAAGCTTTTATAGCCTCCCAAAAGCCTCATTTATCTTGTTTTCTCTCTTCATTGCTTCCAGTTCTGAATAAATGTTATTACAGTGTGTGTGTTGGATACTTACCATCCTCAACTTCATGCTCTCTGTCAGTCCAGTCTTGGCCTGCTATCCTCCATTCAGCCTTGTACTTGAGGATAGGCACTCCTCCACTGGAGGCAGGCTCATCAAACTCCACCATTGCTGTGCTGGAATACGGCTCCACACGCTCGATAGAGGGGGCCGAAGGCACATCTAGAGAACATGCACACACACGTACTTATAAGCACACACTGGAAGATAACTGGCGTACTGCTCTGCGCACACATGCAGGGTGCCACAAAAATGTGAGTGAGGCAATAGACAAAATTATTATGGGCTTGGGGAATGGTTCACCAAGGGAACTGTTATTGCAGTGGCCAGTACAGTTTTTCCCTGAAGCATGAGTAAAATATCTTTCAGACAAACCAAGATATTGTTTAAAGTGGTCATATCATGAGGAATCGAATTTTCCTTGAACTTCTAAGATGAAAGAGTTTGATGTACTATGAAAACATACTGTAACTTTCAGGAAAAAACAATCTACACTAACAAAGCTACAAAAATGGCTTGTTCTAACCTTCTCCAACCTTCGGACATCAGACAGACACATCAATAGGAAAAATTATTGTTTCAAACACTCCTCCAAACATTCTGCAGTTCTGTTTGGTGCCACTAGAGGCACAGAAATGACACATTCTCCTTTAAATGTGGGGAAGTTTGCCAAACCTTTAGCTGGCCCTGAGTACATCTTCCGCTCTGCTTATCCTCCCGAGGGATCCCAAAGTTAGAAACATGAATCTGATATTTATTTGTGACCAGCTTTCTGATCATTTAAGTCCTTATTAAGATCTTAACTATTTGAAAGTCACGTTACAGTGTGGATTCTTTCGTTATCCTGTTAGAATGTAATGAAGGCTTTGCAAAGAAGCTGATTTCAATGGACGAGTTATCTATAAACAGTATTGGATGCAAACAGCAAACCCACAGCACACGTTTTCTCATTTCCCATGCAAAAAAATTTGTTTTTATAAAACGCTTAAAAGACACAGTACCAAAAAAATAAACCTTCTGTTCAAGGTTGTTGGGGAATTAAATCATTTTTAAAGAAATGAGACTTTATCACACAATAAAAACCAATTGTGGTGACTCTAAAGCCTGTGAGGTAGAAAAGAGGCGTCACTTCTGCACTGCCTCATCGCATTGAGACTAAATAATCACCTCACTGCCTTCCACACCATTTCACATCTGCCCCACTTTACAGAGCACCAAAAATATCAGAGGCAGAGTCGCATTTAACCGTCGAATCTGCAGCCTGAAAATTATACCCTGCTGTTTTTATTACCCAAGAGTCTCAGCCTAAAAAATATGAGTGCAGGCTCTGATCTGAAGCTAAAACACCTCTGTCTGGGGGAGATATACCTTTTGCATTTGTGTTTTTTCTGTGTTAAGACTTCCTTTTGTGAGCAAGGATGTGTGAATAGCTAATTAGAACCTCTGAAAGACAATTTGTGATTGATACATGTTCACCATAAATGTAAAGCAGTTGCTGATTTTGTTCATCATTCTCTGAAACGTCACAAACCTGCTTGAACCAAAATGAATTCCTTTGACTCTGTGCCGATGACATTGGTAGCTGTACAGTTGTAACTGCCAAAGTCATTCTGGGACTCCGGAGTGACCTGTCAGAGAAAAAACAAAAGCCACGTCAAGGCACCGCCTCTCATCTGACCTAGCTAGCATGACACAGACATTAGCTGGTTAAGGGAAGCTCGTTGCCATGGCAATGGCAGTGACCTCCCATTCTGAACCGCTGGCATTCACCTCGCTCGATAATTTTTGAATGACAGAGAGAGAGAGAGAAAGAATGGAAGTGCACTGTCTCCATTAGCGCTAACAGCTTAGTAAAATGTGCCATAGGAATAAGGACAGTGACAGAGAACATTTCAAGCTTCACAGAACAGTCAAAAACAACCTCTCATGCAGTGGTGAACTGCATATTTAAAGCCCCCTCACTGAGAACCATGAGACGAAGCCCCGCCCACGAGTGGTGACATCATGTGCAAGAGTTTGTGGGAGTGTATAATAGTACTGCTGATTTATGTCATTTAGAAAGTGTAAATCTATAAAGGGCCTATAATGAGTCAACAACATTTTAGTGTTGAAAGTTTAAAACCAGTAAATGTTATAAATATTAAATAAATATTAAATATATTTAAAATCTGTAAATATTTGACTTTGACAAAGGAAAGTATTTCTGGAATGGGGTTCTGATCTAAAAATGTTCCTAAAACGTTTAAAAAATAGACGTAAACTGAAAGAGGCTCTTGGAGCATCTTTACACTGCTGCTACATCATGCAAATCTGTGCATATTGTAATTGATTAGCTGTGCTCAATAATCCATAATTGACATATGAAATATTTCCTGTGATTGCGAGTCTAGTTTTATGAAGACTTGTCGTATTAAAAAGTCAAGTTGTTATATAAAAGACTCATAATGCTGTGATCTGATCTCAAAAGGTTTCTACAGTTTGCTTTCAAATGAACCAAAATTTCACAAAAAGTAATATTTTCTGTATTTAGATGCAACAAATTAAACATCACAATCTGTGCTTTGCAAGACCCCAAAAACAATATGCTCCATGCGGGTCATTCACAATGCATCGTTACACAGGAAGCAACTTAATTATTGTAATTAATGTTATCGGCCAGTAATGCGAAAAAATCAAAAGAGAACTAAAATTACACAAATTATTCTACTACACAACAACAACAAGTCATTATATACTTAGCACTTGTGGGCTGATAAGGGTGGCTAAGGTGTGTGTATCAGCTCTATTTTGTACATAAACGAAGAACATAGAATACTGGAAAGAAAAAAAAACAGTAATTATTGTGTTCTCTCAATGCAATATCAACAGGCACTATTGCTATGATTGAATATCAAATGCAACAGAGTGCTGAAGTATACTGAAAATGAGCTCAGAAAGCAATTATTAGTGTCAAACACGTCTTTAGTGTTGAAACTTTAATGAGGGGGCATCTAAAGGCTGATGGGTTGGAGCAGTGATGCCGTACCTCCAGGAAGCTGGTAGAAGGAGTGTTGTAGATCTTGACGTTGGTGGTATTAGCGCTAGGCAGCAGCAAGCCATCACGGAACCACAAAACGGAGGCGGCCGGGTGAGCGAGGGCCTCGCAGGTGATGTTAGCCGGATTACCATCCCAGGTGAACACCGCCGCAGGGCCTTGGATCTTTGGAGAATCTGTAATTATACACAGTGTCAGCCAAGTGCAACCAACACATGGACTGTTCCAGAGAGAGACCTTGGGGCCAAAAATATGATGGCTTCCAGCTGGCATACATTACCCATCATCCCCTAAACTACCTTACAGAATTGCAATTTCTGATATCTGCTCTATTGTCTGTTGTGATTGTTCCCCCCCGATGTTCACTTCGGCTAACAAGACTTTCCACTCCAGGATTGATCCAAGCAGTTGAGTCATCACATTTCCCATGAAGCTGTTCTGATAAGACACATATCCACTCAAATCTTATCGCTATCTCAGGACCACAGGCTGCAACACCGCTGCTGAGATAATGTCATAACCCCAAAACTTCATGTCTCTTTTTGGATGAAACGGCCAATGAAATCTTATCACAGCAGTGGTTGGAATGAATATTGGCAAATTTAAGGCATGAAATGATTCATGATTTCATGTGTGATTTCAGGAGAGCACGTTCTTACCATGTTGATGTAAGTAAACAGCAAAATTTTGCATAAAGATACTTACTGATTTCAAATGGCTATAATAAATAGTCTTTCCAACTGGCTGCCAGCCTGAGACTTCAGTTTTACTATGAAGCTGAGCTCCATTTCAATAAAACAACACATAAACAACCAAGCGAAAGAAAAAATGCATTTAAATGTAAACTTGAAGTAAAAGGTGGGAAATAAAAGAAATGAACAGTCATGCAAAACAGAAGGAGAGACTCTAACCCAGACCGTAAGTGTCTGAGCATGGGAGTGAACAATCTCATCTAGGATCATTTGAAGCAGACAAAGCACCTTTTCTTATCACTAATTACTGCAAAACGCTCCGTGCGCTCAACCAAGATGCTGATTACTATAAGCCGGGTTGTGGCAAACTGCATTTCCACACAATTTCTATCAATTGCACATTGTGATGCTATCTCAGGAAAGGGAGAAGATTTTTTTTTTAATCCAATTTTAATCCAATTAGACTTTCATTGCACTTCAAGCTTCACTCCCTCCCACTTTTCTAAATTAGATTGTGAGAATGCGTAAAAATGCGCAAGCAGATGAAAATAACTTTAAAGCTAGCTTTACTGTAATTCTCTACCTGGCAAATGGCACAAAAGTGCACTCAGCCAACTGCAGTAAACATAATCTGATAAAATAAGCGTTTGCTCTCAAAATTGAGTTTTAAGAATGTGAAGATGGCAGTATTTCATTTCATATGAAGAGCTCTGAATGTAAGAAATAAGCCCAAAAGCTATAAAACACATTTGAGTATATGGCACTGTGATTTGAACTGAGTTTTTGGTGGAAAGCAAGTTTAATTTGTTTGAAACAGACATTTAACAAAAGCCCTCAAACCACCAATTCCTTCAAAAATAATTTCTGTTGTTAAATCGAATCTTTTGTTATATACTGAAAAAAAAAGAGGAAAAAAAAGAAAAAGAAAAAATAATATTGTTTATTTCACAAAAAAACCCCCCAAAATTCAATGAATAACATCTGTCAATACTCTGCTGAAAAAAAACAATTATTTGCTGGTCTAGGCTGGTTCATGCAAGTCCAAGGGTTTAGCTGGTGGATCTACTGTTCACTTGCAAAAATTAGCTGCTTTAGTTTCTGGCAAACAAGAAAGTCTTGATGATTAAGTTAGTTAGTTAAGTTAGTTATCCGGTAGCCGACAAACGGAACATTGAGAAATCACAATCTGTCCACTACATTGAGCTTAGACACATTTGCCCTGAACACAACCAGACAAATAACCTACAAAGGACAAAGAGAGAAGTTTGTTGTTTAGCTTACAGCGCACTTCCAGGTACATGCTCTGGATGTCCTGACCAATGGAGTTGCGGGCAGTGCAGAGGTACTGGCCGGCATCGGTGAACTGCACGTATTTCAGAGTCAGAGAGGACACACGGGCATCACTGCGCACGATCACGTTACCATCCAGACTCTAGAAAAAGAGAAAGAGAAAGTGAGAGTAAGAAAGCAGTGGTGGGCCGTCAGGGCCAGCAAAGCCTTCTCTGCTGGCTTTAGGTCAGTCATACAGGTTTGGAAAGACATGAGGGTGAGAGCAGATGATGACATTTATTTCATCATTGGAAAACAATCCTTTTTTTTAATGTCATTCCTGCACACAACTACAGACGCCAGTCGAAGGGACGGCATGTCTTTGTGTTTCAGGCTCTGTCTGGGGCTCAGGGGGATATTTTAGGAGATAGTGAGGCAGGGATCAATAATGAAGTGGACCACACAGCAGGGGCCACTTTAAAGCCTTTTCACCTCAAAGACTGTTTGCACAGCACATCTAGGACAATCTGCTAACAGTTTACTCCCTGGCTCCATCCCGCTCTTTAGCTTGTACTGCGTTTACTCTGCTGCCCATCTCTGGTTACTATGGTGATCTGAGATCCTAAGGTTGGAGGGGCTTTGAATTCAGCAATCAATACTAGCTCCAGCTGTTACAATGAAAAGCCGGCATGTTTTTCATCACTGCTCTGTGTTGTTTGCATTTCAAAGCATTTCTTGCTAGTTTTCTTGGTAGTTTCACTAGTTTTCAAAAGCAACTAAAAAGGCCCTTCAGATCAGCATATATATATATATATATATATATAAAAAATGAATGTTTATTTTATACACACAAATAAAATAAAATGTGATAATTATTTTTTATATATAAAAATAAAACCATAAGGTTAAAAATGGAGATCTCTCAAACAATATTCATTTAATCAAGAAATGTGTCCATGACCATGTCTTAATGCAAATGAATGGATCTTAACATTTTGTGAGATCTTAATTTTTTACCCTTGAGGCAAAATATTTAATATTTTTACATATCTTCTTTATTTATTATTCCATATTTATAATAATTATAAATGATCCAATATTTATTTGGTTCTCCATTTAATTGGCTACACATTTACTATCAAGCACCTTGTGAAAGGAACAGAAAAAGCTTATGCATCAACTCTCCATATGTTACCCATACGTTAGTGACTGACACATGCGGCTTCGACTTAGTGATCTTCAAAAGAAGAAATCAAACGGAAATCCACAGATTAATGACACTCATGTAATTTACAAGAAAATTAATTGACTGAGCAAATATGACTTGCATAATGTGACCCATGTTAATTAGAGAGTGCAGCCTCTTCCATGACACGTTTAAATAGATTTATTAGTCATGCCAGCTGACACCATATTACTCAGTTAACAAATACAAGTTGCTCCTCCACTCCAGTGCTGAAGCCACCGGCCACGATATTCACATGGATACCCACTCCCATTCATTACGGATGGACATTCAAAGAGAAAAAGAGTAGCTGTCACACCTAAGCATTGTTGACATTCACAAGCAGTACGGAGTGCAGCAGAATGAATAAAATAAGCCCAGGAGAGCTGGATGTGCTCTACATTTTTCGTGCTTAGCGAAGCGTACTTTGTTTTACCTGCACTACAATGTCACTATTGCATGTACATGCATACTGAATGAAATATGAGCATCGAATAACTCACCGCAAACTGCTCAGCATATGATTCACAGTTTGCTTCAAGTGAAGGCACTGCAAAACGTGAACATTAGCGTGCACCTTTCATCAGTGCCACAGACGGTCCCCCGACAGCGTGCGAAGACAGCCGGGAAATAAGATGTTTCTGAAACCTGCAGTGGCACTTCATTTATAAAGTGCCTGTTCAATGGTCAGTGAGAAATTAGACTGCGGAGCAGAATGGAGTATATGCGGTACTGAAATCCAATCAATTCACAAACTTGATTTAAGGTGTGGTGGCTTAGTCACGATCTGAGGGATTGAGTACTTTAAGCAACAACCAGGGTCTCGACCATAAATTCCATCCTGCTTGTGCCTCACGTTCAAAAGGCTGCAGGGCTGTCGAGCGAGTCCCCTCCCGTTGCATAGTAATTGACAGTAAGCCGCGTACGCAGAGTCTCTCCTGTTTTATGTGTGTACGTAGGGCCGGTCACATATAAACCTTCACGATTTCTTTGAACGCTAACCTTGAACTCTTCCAGCAAATCACATTGCACCTCTACCTCTTTGTCTTAACTTAGGAGGAAACAGTAGGGAGGGAGAGACAGAGAATGTTTCGGCTTACGTTTCAGCACTGAAATGCAATCACTGGCCTGTGCGCATCTTATCTCACCTAATAGAGATTGTAGGAAGCCCCATTCTGCCCATCCGTTTCTCCTGAAAGAGCAGACAACCAACAGCGGAATAGAATCAGAGCTCACATTCAAGGTCTTTCGGGTGAAAGAAAAGGATTTCTTCTTTTCCCTCGGGAGAAAATAGTAGGTGACGGATATCATATTGTATGACTGCACTGACAAAGAGGCAATGTAAGAAAAAAGCTGTCGCTGAGAAAAGCGAGTCAAATGGTGTCCTGCACTTCAAATTTCACTCTAACAAGAAACTGGAAGAGCACTCTAGCACAGACAAGATGGATCACAGTGTGTCCAAATGTGGAAGAGAATAAATCTGAACTTTTGATTAAGATGGCCTATCTTGGATTGATGCAAGACATTGTTGAGATATAGCTGCCCTAAGGTGGTCTGCAGCAATGAAAGTCTAGACAGTGAGCAGGCCAGATGTTCCAAGATTGAATGCAAATTGAATTTGGTCAAGGTCACATACTGTAGTACATACATACCAGTATATATATATATATATATATATATATATATATCAGGGGCGTTTGAAGGAAAGCGAGGAAAAGAGGGAAAATTCAAACGAACTAAAAACGAACAACTGCTTTAATTTCCTCACCGACACAACCCTATTTCATAGTGGCCTATAATTATAAATTTTTTTTTGTGGTAATAAAAATAGATGCAAGTGAACAATAGTAATCTTTAATATTTGGCCATTTCTTTAGGACAGAAATGCTATAGCAACTGTAATTAAATGAATATGTAGACATCAAAACGTGTAAACTGGGTAAAAAGTGAGGGTTTGAGCTTTCATTTTGAAACCGCGATATATTTCTCCTGTGTTTGCGTAGATTTATAAATTATTTACCTTACAAATCTGATGAAATGGCGCATGTTGCGTTCCCAGATGAACGTTATAATAAACCTAAACTCACAACAACATGCAGATATGGAGTTTGAGATGCTCCACACATGTAAATGATAACAGTTCCTGTGGAACTACTGTGAACGGAGCCTCTGTGTGACGCATGTACTCAACCTACACGCATGTAAATAATTAAAGCGCATATACTGTATTAGAACTGCATCGCATATAATTATTTAATTAAATCGTAGCGTTGCCTTGGAAAACAGACTAATAATGTGTTTTATACATTCTCGTCTGTGAAATGCGCCACTTCCGGTATTTTGCCGGTTAGTCGACGCGAGCAAAATGAAGTCGAGGATTTTAAAAAATC